TTATCCAGTGTATCTTGAGTTTTAGCAACCAGCAAGTGATGATCTGGGGATATATCAGATCCTTCCTTGGTTCTCACATCCTCCACAATCCTTCTGAACTTTTTGTTGATACAGATATGGTCGATTTGGTTCTGAGTATTGTGGTCCGGTGGAATCCTTGTGTATGTGAAGCATTTTCGTCTTCATGACCAGAGTATAACAGCAGTTCCCCTGAAGATAATCTCAGTCGCCCTACCTGCGAACAATGCGTTTCACTGATTCCAAGCACCTCCAGGTTGTATCTTTTCATTTCTGTAGCGACATGAAGTATTTGTCATGTTTAGCGTTTTTTTGGCAAGTTAGTTATTTGCTGGGATGGGGGCGACAACCACATGGCCAACCCGCTCCTCCTTTATCCGGGCTTGGGACCGGAAGTAGCGTCGAAAGGTCTACAGACGGAGTTACAAGTAACAGATATCTGACTAGAATTAAACAGTCGAGTGGTTAGATAATGTTATCATGAAATGATAACGCCATGAAATCTCAATAAGTCACGTGTGTTTTGTGAAATCATATTTAGCTGGTTAAGAATACAAAATTTTCATGTTTAAAACTTATATTAGTATCAAAATTTATTTGTTTTACTACTCGACAGGTGTACTTGTTACTGTAGTAAGAAAGCACGACGAAATCAAATCTAACCGCTTAGCGGTGTCTTTGATTGCCCTGATTGATGATTTTGTTATTGTTCGATCTCTGAACATTACGGCTATAACCAACTGGTAATAGTTAACTAAACCATTTTATATGACCTTATGTTTACTGGGCATCCTTAGTTCGTAAGTTTGTGAACTAGATTTATTTAGTTTATACGAAATATCAGGATCAATGATTGTTTATTTGTTCATTCTGTCATCAGCAGAACATTTTCATGTTTTGACCAAAATTCCTTATATGTCACTGGTGAATCTGATTATAACATTGTTTTGGCTTTACTTGTGCTTTCCCTAATGGATAAAGCACCCACAATTCCGTTCATTTTTTTTTCAAGTTAAGATGGCTTTTGAGTGTATTCTCACTGATTATCAGTACTTTGGAAGTTCAGTTAATACAAATCCCGAGCTTTTCCATGTTTGGCAAGTTGTTTGTTCCTGCGACTCTTATCAAGATCTGCTTCCCTTCATCTCTTGTTGTTCATCTTTATTAATGGATATCTAAAGCATGCATTTTTCAAATATTTTCATATTAAAATACTCATATTATCATCGTTATGGAAATGATATGTTGTCAAAATTTATCAAAAGTGAACAGGGCTTACATTTGATCAGATAACCAAATGCGGGTGTGTGTGTGAATAAAATGAGTACATTTTGTGACCATTTTCGGAAAAATTTTATCTTTGACAGATTTTGGATGAATTATGGGACAAAATGTCTGGCCTCTGTGGATTTAAGGTGGAGTTTTTGGAAAATTTAACATACGGTTATGTTTTTGGACTTTTGTCAACGTTTCTAAAGATTCACCCAGTTTACTTAATCAAGCTGTCCGGAAATTTGCCTAAAATTAACCATTGTTTTCCTAAAAATGAGAATTCCGGACATTGACGTCAGAAAAGGGCATTAGAATCACAAATATAATGCCTAGATTTATGATACAAGATGGAACGAGTGAAATTCTTAGAGAGAGATTTGTCAATTTGACATCGGTAATGTACTCAGGGGACAAGTTCACGGCCGTAGTATCTCACTAATAATTTAAACGACTAATTGTTGAAATGCAACGAATGGATAGTGAGTGGCTACAAGGCTACATTTAGCCAATCAGGATTTTAGTGCAGTGGGGCATGAAGAGAGTGTAGAATTTCAATACACTAATTAATTTCCCCTATATTTCCGTATGTCTTAAATGACAAATTTAAAACGAAAACTAATGTCATAGTCGTAGTGTAACAAAACACTAGGGGATGATTGTAAGAACTGACGGTGCACGTTGATAAAAATAGTTAATAATGCCAGTTGAACATTTGTCCATGTACATCTCAGAATATTCAAAATCTGTGACTGAATGTAAAATTTAATTACGTAACTATGTGACTTAACACCATTCAGGTCGCCTACATCATTTGACTGTCTTTTTTTAGCCATCAGGGCATGTCTTAGAGGTTAGACTTCTGTCAAGTTATAAGACTAAATGTAAACCATATCTCATCATTGAATCTGTAGTTATTTCATTTGTTAGTAATACCATGAAGGAGATGATTGACTGAAAAATAATAATCTATCGTCAGAGATGTTGAGCAGTCTAATTCAGAGTAGGTGACATTAGCGTAGCTGACTTCACTTTTCCTCTTTTCCTAAACCTCAAGTTCATACTAATCTATATCTTTTCAATTATATTGTATGTGATTCAGTAACCAATAGGAAAGATATAATTATTTCACTTCCTTGATTTTTATTCTGAATAGATTTATTTTTGCCGATATAAAGTGTAACAACTAAAACCAATACATGTTCGTACTACATTCTACTTAGATATTCACAATTGGTCGACTGAATAAATATTTTTTCAGTGAATAGAATGATCAATTTTAACTGAGTAAAACCTATAATGAAATGTTTCATCTCTATAGTATAAGCATTAATCAAACTAATTTATCATAATGAGTTATATTTATGAAATTTTTTAAATGTTTTCTAGGGAATGACTGAGGTTAAAAGACAACTTGATTTGATATCTGAAAAATTAGATCAAGATTCATCACAAGTATTGATTCATTTCTTATCATAATTATGCATTATTCATTTTTGTGAAGACTAAACGGTTTATTAGCTTTGTTAATAGTCATAAAAAACTAACAAGTGAACAACAGGAGAACTTCAGTGTAAAGTATGCCATATATATCAATCATTGTTTTGTTTGAAAGAGCAGTGCAATTCTTGAAGGAATTGAATGCACACACTGAAGCAATCAAACAAATTAAACAGGTAACCTTACAAAAACTGCAAATATAATTTATGATCAAATCATATAATAATAATAACAGGATAAAAATACTGAAAATCAATTGCCAAAGTTGGATTCATTGAAAAATCAACTTTTGACAAAAATCTCTACATTAACAGTAGGTGATTATTCATAAAAAGCATTAAATAATATACACGAAAAAATTTCTTTTTGTAGGACAAATTGCATAAATTAGACAAAAAAATAGGCGGAATGTAAATATTTACAGATATATTCAATTATTATTTAATTTGTTTTCAATAATTTAGTGATACCAATTTATTGGTAAGAAATGAGAATATCATTAATGATGAAGCAAAATCTCACGATCCAGGTAATGATTGTAATAAATAGCCATGTAAAAATAAGTCCGTTTAGCTGTGATTGTAAGGTTCATTATTTTACTATTATTGATTAAAGCCTTTATATTCTTCAACATTTTGGAAACGACTTGAAGTACACAAAATTTCTTTTGAGCAAAATTTATTTCGTTTTAAATCTCTTGACTCACGGTAGGTAACCTTCGGAAGAGGTTTTGTTCAGTCACATAGTGAGTGAGAGACATGTTTTATAGATGTTAATGTCTGATGGTCATACAGTGTCAAAATTCGGGCGAAATTAAACGGGAATTACAACGCGGTGGTTCAAAGGGAACATCATCACCGTAAGATTGAAAAGTCCTGGATTCAGTTTCTAAAATATACAAGAACTAATATTATCCGATCAATAATTAATTTGGTGATGACAATCGATTTTTGTTTCCGTTTTTTGATATGCTACAGTCAAACATACATGGAGCACGTATAAATCAAGTGAATCTATAATTTATCAATCAGTATGTCACATATAACTTGTCAGTTACAAGTATTTTTCCACCCTTCATTATTTCAGGCTTTATCAAGGCACCATCAATAAGATGGATCCCTATTAACATTGGAACTATATCAGTATAATACAATACCCTATGAAATGACAAAACACCTTGTATATTTAAACCAAATTTACGCTTATTCTATTATGCTGAGTAGTAGCTAATTTTATATACATTTTTAATTGCAGAACATTGGTTTTTTTATATTTCTATCATAATCTTATATGAATAAAACTTATTCAATGTCTGTTAGATTCCTTCACACTTTTTGCTTCACTAAAAATCTGTTGAACTTACTATCATGCACATAGTTCGAAAAAAGTTCAGTTTTTGTTTAAAGCTACTAAATTGATGAGAACTTCTCACTGTAGTTTGAGAACAGTGGTCTGATTTTAATCACGGCCGCCTCGATGTTGTTGTTTAGGTACTGATTATTTTGAACAATTTTAGCATTTCCATATTGTGTCCATGACCCAGCAGATAACAAACAATGGCATTGTAGAAAGAATGTTGGCTTTTTAGTCACAAGTTTTATGGAATATACTCTGAGATATTCCTTCAGTGTAAGTAATTTGGCACACACAGGTAAACTGGTAAATACAACCAGAGGTCACATGAGGTTTTATAAATGATAGCCAAATATTTTCAAGCAAATTCTGGCAGTCAATGGAAAGCACTGATTCTTTTTAGGTTTTTTTTACTAGTTGACACTCCTCACATTCTCTTCAGTCTTTATAAAAGCACAACCCAACTTGACTGATAGAATTTTACTGACCTGTCAGTCGGTGAGTAAAAAAAATTTCGATGTCAGTAAGTTTGAATAGTTTACCGGTAGTATTCTCCATTATTGATTTGAGCTACGTGAAGAAAAAACTGGCTGGCTCCTACAAGTTCGTCAACTTGCACGAAAGCATTCCTGTTAAATAACATGCAACAATCAAACACCAAAAACAATATGTTCACCACAAAGTAAATTATTCATTCTAATTTGGTTACATTGTAACTTGATGGTAAGACCAATTAACCAATCAATCCGAACTAGGTGACAACATAATATCATCAATGATGACTTAGTGTCGTATTAGGTAGGCATGTTTGTTTGGTCCAACTTAATCTGATCCATACATCGAAGTCAAAACCTAACATTCTTCACTGTACACGATGATTAGCTAATATGATGTGTTTTTTTTTTCAAACCTAATTCACCATATGTTTGTTGTTTTAGCTGCAGAGTCTGAAATGTCAACTCCTAAGCATAAGAAAAAGGTACACGATGACGATGGAGAGGAGGAGGATGCGCAGGAGGAGCAGGTGCAGGTGGAAGAACAAGAACAACCAGTCAGTAAAAAGAATAAAGATAAAAAAGCAAAACACCCGTCGAAATCAATCAGAAGCAAAAAACCCAAAGAGAAGCATATAAAAGAACCTAAAGACACTACTGCTACTTCTACTGCTACTACTACTACTGCTACTACTACTACAGTGACAGCACAAATTCATGCTACTGACAGTCCTGATGGAATGCACACTGATACCGGTACTACTACTACTGCTACTACTAATACTACTACTAATACTACTACTCCTGCTACTTCTGGTACTACTCACAATTAATAATCATAATCACTTAGATGTTAAAAATACAGATAAATTGTTGAAAAAATTAAAATCTCCAAAACGAATAAAAATATCGAGTAAGTAGATAATAGACATAACATTATTCCTATTATTATTTATTATCAAGGTAAAAAATCCAAAACAACTGACGATGAAAATGACACGTCCACAATGAAGAAAAAGAAATTCACAGACAAACTAAAGGATAAAAATAAAAGTAACTTTTATAAAAAAAAATACATATTGATAATCATAATTTATTAACTATCGATACTTATTTCTTTACGCACATTCATTTAATCATTGTGAAGCTTTCAAACTATATTGATTTGTTATAAGAAAGAAGGGTGTTGTCCAGAGGTTCGGCGTTTGTATGCAAGAGGGAGGGCCCTGTGTCCGAATCCTACGAGTAGCAAGAGTCATGGATGTGAGTCCCATTTGTTGAGGATGTTAAATCCCCAGAACTCGCTTGACAAATATCTTCATTTTGGATTTATTTCATGGACCGATCAGTTGACCTTGAGATCACGTTTCCAACCAGGAAAATCTTTGGCTGTGATTGGTTACTGTGTCATTTTAGTGTGTTATTTTTGTGACTGTCTGAAGGACGTCCCTATAGAGTATAAATAAACGCAATTTGAGTGCTTGGATTCATTCATAACACCATACCAGGACGAAACGGCCTTCCAGTATTTCCAGTTTTTTGATGGTAGTCTAACAATGATTGATTTGTGATTTCAAGCGAAAAAAACAATAATCTCCATAACTTCGTGATGAAAAATTACAATACTTAGGATTTCTATTCGAGGGGAAGTTCCCGGAATTCTAGTAAACGGGATAATCCGCGATGGTTGTGAGGACGTCAGGTACCTAACGAATACGGTTGAGGATAGTCATAAAATAGTGCTAGTAGATTGGAGTTAGAATTGTACACTTCTGAGCATCTCTGTCCATCTCTGTCTAGAGGTTAAGTGTGTTTGCACACCAGGCAGATGATGGATGATAGTCTTCCATCCGGTCGTAGGTGAAATTTATTCACATCAAACTAGAAGGCAAAGAAAGATCTTGCAGTTCAATTTAAATCGATTACATGACAGAGCAACTGAATATAAGTATATTAACTGCTTTCACTTAGTTAGAAATAAATTTATGAAGCAGAAAATAGTGTTGTCAACCAAAAGAATCGGCTAAAAAATTATAATGCACGCTGACAGGTTGAAAATTATTAGGATAAAGGAAAAATGATCCGTAAGCTCCTCACCAAATTCCAACTACACGTGTGATGATCAGTAAAAATGCCTTTGTGTTATTAATGCTCATAACGTTTTGTTTGATGGTGGAAAATTCACTGGTGATATTATACAGTAAAAATGATGGTCTTACATTAGTTGAATTCTTAATTTAATGTCCGTAGATTGTGTGTCACACGAAGTCAGACACTATCCCTAAGTCCTAATTTTAAATCCTTAATTCTGAAACAACTCTTAACTTGGCAGCATTATATTTCATGAACAAACTAATAAGATAGTGAATGCCTTTTGGATTTTCTTGCAAAATTCATTCAGCATAGCCAATTTTAGCTTATAATGAAAAACCTAACAACCATATACACACTCAGTATTTATTCTAAATACATTACTCTAACCAAGAACAATGTGGAAACCCCTACACGTCATCTACCTGGATCCTTGAAAGAGTTTTATTTTAAAACGAATAATCTACTTTAATATCCTTGAAACTAAATGTCACTGTGTTTTCAGATTGCGGGCAGATTAATTTGTAGAAAGCTCAAATAAACTCGTCAATTATACAAAATCTCTTTACATTATATAACATTATTGTTCTCACTTACTTACAAACTATCCATTGACACAAGTTGTTTTCTGATTATTTAGGAACATGCTAAAAGTCCGCCAATATTTTTTCAAATTTTTCTCTATACCATGATCTTGTCACAAGTTAGAGTCATTCTATGCTTTAGTATACATATTTCTTTGCGTATGACAGATAGAATGTGACTAGCAGTGGAATGGCAGGTGCGCGTTTCATTCTAATTTGGAACTCGTCTGTAGCCGAATGTACCCACATCTCACTCTGGGACTCGAACCCAATATCGTTCCCATAAAACTCCACCGCGTCATCTCATTTAACTGCTGAACCCGGAAAGCCATTCAACTGTGTAACGGGACAAATTAAACCATTCCAAACTTCATTACAGGTTTTTTCCATCATAGTATTATGTAGATTATAGTTTCACATTGAAATCATGAATGAATCATCATCAGACCACTACGGGACTATCCAACAGTGCGCGTCCATGACTCCCGCTACTCGCCGCAGAAATCGAACCCCTTGGACCTTCGATCCCATGCGCCAACACCTAATCTCTAGGGCCAATGAACCAGATGGCATCCAGTGGTGTTACTGCCTACAGAACACCCGACAGGGTTGAACTCCCTTTTATCATGTTTTCTCATCTAAAATCTAATTTCTAAGTGAATTCATTGTGAATTAAAATCAAAATTACTTATCTATTTCACTCTAGATAAAACTAATAAATCTCATGAGGATGATGATAATGATGCAGTATCAAGTGTACCAGTGAAAGATAATCAAAATAAAAAAATCCATACAGCCGAAGAGCGTGACGTTGAAACAGACGAAATGGAAGAATTAGAATTGGAAGATGAAGAACCAGACTTAGAAGATAATATCAATCAAGTGCAACCATTTGATGAAAAAGCTAATCAACACAGTGAAGAAGATGAAGAAGAAGAAGAAGATCAAGAAGAGAAAATTGAACTCATTGAAATTTCATCACAGAGTGCTGTACAAGTGAATAGTGAGGTAGGTAGGCAGTCGATGAAAGCAAGACATTTTCTCTCTTTTACAACAACTACAATGATGTATTTTGTTTGTTTTTTTTTTCAGATTCCAAAGCGTTTACCAACAGATGTTAGTAGTCCGGAATTGGCAGAATCAGTCAAAAAAGAAACTACCGACTTGGTAATTAATTGATTACGGCCTACATATATGTTAACAATATTTTTTATATTGATTGATTTAGTTCTATCGATCGATTCGTCAGTGGATTGGTGATGATGACGATGATTTACCATTTGATTCTGGTGAAACTTTGAAAATTTTAGAAAAAGAGTAAGGATTACTTTGAAGTATGATGATGATGATGAATATTGTGTGTGTGTGTGTGTGAAGTGTGTATTTTTATTTTCATCCTATACTGTCACAACGTAAGTTTTAAAAATTTTGTGCAATTTTGTGTACAAAATTGAAGGCTCTTAGTGGAATAAGTGATGAGTCTTTAGATAAAAAATATGATACCAGTGTCACCTCTAAAAGCAGGTCAGTAACGAAGTTGAATAAGAATGGGTAGAGTGGACATCCCTGAAGAACACTACTCGACGTAGTTATTTGCGATGACAGTATATGAACTCCATTCATATACATACATTTCATTTTGTATATTATCTGTTGACACAAAACTCTGGTACACTAGAATTCAAGGATACATAAATTAGTACTAAAACTGTATTATACCATATCTAGTAGTACATTTACTATGCTGCAATATAGTTGTAAAGACTGATCTAGTCAGTGTTTACACACACTCTCCATATATATATATATATATATATATATATATATATATATATCTGTAAACATTTATACACGTTATTCACTATTGCGAAATAAACTTCATCATAATTCGTTTGTTTTATTTGATATTGCTTGATTTAGTTAGTTATTGTGATATAAGTGAAGAATACCACGAACCTGTTGCAGTAGATTATATTCAAAAAAGAACAATATTGTGCTAAACACATAGTATTGAACGAAAGCAATTATCAGTTGAAAATAATTTAAACATGAAGGGGATTTGTAGAGATCCAGTGCTTCCATATTTCTGATGATGATTCAGCTAAGATCAGTTTGTGATTTCAACAATAATTAATTATACTGAAATCGCGAATTAATCACTGCTTGACCACCAGTAAAAACCCGGAAGCACTGAATGGCTGTTCCCTTCTAGTATGAGATATCAGCAGTGCGCATTCACGACTCTGCCTGCACTCAGTAATCCAGTCATGGACCTCTGGTCCCGCGCGCAAACACTTAACCTCAAGACCACTGGATCGGTGGCATCCAACAGTGTTAATGTCTAACTCTGATCAGTTTAAGGATTTAACGCAACCTCACCCACCGTCTTCGATAGTTACTGCCTTCACCCAACAGGTTTCTAACGGTGATTCACGATTTCACTGTAAAAAAAATCAACAATCTCCCATAACTCTAGAATGGAAAATAATTCACAAAAATCGGTAGCTACGAATGAGAATCACATTCGAAGTTGACAATTCTTCTAACTTTTTCTTTTCTTCTATTATAGTGATGATGGTTGGTGGCTTGGTGAAAATGTTCAAGGTAAACAAGGTCTAGTTCCGATGAATTTTCTAAAGGTATTGTGATTCATTTATAATTTCTTTCAAATTCTATTTGTTTATAGAAAATAGTCATGCTTGAATCGGAATGGAAAGATTTGAAACTGGTATTTAAACATTTTCGCATTATTGATTAATTGTTTTCATTTTTTTCGGAAACAAAGAATTATATAAAACAGAAAACTAATGAGACTATTCCAGCAGAAGTTAGTCCACAAACATATAGTGAGGCTGATGAAGAGGACGAGGAGCAGCAGGAGGAGGTGGCGAGGCAAGCGACAAAGCTGACCAATGCGGTCAATGAACAAAAAGGTGATTTCAGTTAATTTCATTTTCATTCATTTAAACATCATAGTAAGTAGAGAAAGCACTAAAGTTCAGCTGAACGAAACTGCAAAAGAAAACTCTGTCGTGAATCAGATCCCCGGTCATACTGAAGACAGTGCAGAGTATGATGATAAAACATGGGAAGAAGGTGAAGGCGATGAAACTAGTGAAAATTTCGAAATTGAAGAACAACGAGAACAACAACAACACAAAGATGAAGACGATCTCATTCATAAAGAAGGCGATGTCGGAGTGATTGAAGAAAGTCGAGTTAGTGTTGTGCACAGTAGTAATATGACGTATGCTGACAAAATTTCTACATCGATTTCATTTTTGGACACAGAAAAATGGTATGTTCTGTAGGAAAAGTTAACGTCTAATAATTCTAAATTTTTAGGCCTTTCAAAGACGAGCCAGATTACTCAAGTTGGTATATTAAGGTAAAACGTCTTTGAAGTAGTCATATATATGTATATATATTTCATCTTATTCATATTCATAAGCATTTTTACTGGTCAACTTATTGGTAACAGTTACTCCGCCTGAAACCCGTCTGAAGGTTACTGCCAATTCCAAGCCCAGCTAAAGCAGGAGGGTTAAGCATCAAGTACTCAGCCCCACCCCGTTGAAAACCAACTTGCTAAAAAAAGCGCTAGCCAGAAAAAAATAATTGGTAGCTGTTAGATGCATATAAAACACTTGGTGTTTTTGCAGTAATCTATCAATGAGACTCGAAAAAAGGTAGCGATAATCAAACCTAAATGTTTAGTGTCAGCCTGTGAATTCATTGATTGTTTCTTTGAACTAAGTTGGTGATATATATAGATTATCTGTTCGTAATTCGTATGATTATAGTAACTTCATGATGTTGGATAGCACAGATCAGAGGCTCCGAATCTTTTACATTGATGACACAGATAATATTCACACTATGTTTTCCTTAAGATCCTGAGTTTCAAGATTATTTTATACCATGAATACATTTATTTTGGTTGTGAATTATTTCCTGTTCCTAATAATGTTTATTATCCGTATTACTATAATTTCTTCTGTTACTTTGGTATTTAATTGGATAATCCCAACTTGATGTTTTGATCTGGAGTTTTGGTAATTTAGATCAATACTCGTTTGAACTAGGTTCTATGTTGCATGTAATGATTGACTAACTGACTTACTGATTGACTTGGGAAAGTAGAATTTTCACAGTTTTGATTATTCTTCATTTGTGTCAGATTATAACGATCGCGACGATTTAATGACTGAAATGTCGGGTGAAACGCGTACTTTATCAAAATTCTTAAAATTTAACTGTGATTCTGAATTACATTCTTGTCTACGCAAGATACTGCGGATCCGTTGGCCAAACACCCTCGACAATAACCTATTGTAGGAAGGAACAAAGCAGTTCGGTAGCCTATGCTCCACAAGGGGTAACAGATATAATTACTCAAAATAAATCCTTATCATTTTGAAATGAATTAGTCTATACTAACTTGAAAGCTGATAACAATATAAAGTAGATATACCAAGTGACTTAGTCTAGCACAAGCATTTTGAGTAATTTGTTCTTAAAGTACTGGGCTGAGGATGTTTACTTACCTGACGACCTAAATCCAGTCTTAGATATAGCTCCAATAAATTGGTTTATTTTTTGTGAGAGGTGGTTACGTTACGCAGCTGGTAATTTCAGTACTGATTGTTCTGATTAATTAATACAAGTGAATGGATCCATAGAATAAAAAAAAAACAACATTCACTATTTCAGCTGAATAGATTTGTAAAACACATTTTCCATTTGTTACGTTTTGTTTCGTTCAGAATAATGAGAAAGCTCTGGAAGCTTATCAACCTTTACCAAGCAGTGTTCGCTTAAGCTTTCTTTCATCACCAGGTAAGTTAACGAAATTTCAGGCATATTATTTCTATCTATTAAGCAATATTTCAATGTTTATGCTTGTATTCACTGCATATACATATACAGCCCTCAAAGAATTCAATAAGTCAATCAACCACGATCAGTATGTAGTCTGACACAAGAATGGATGTTTGCTAAATTTGTTCCACCAAATCAGGTGCACTGAAATAAAAGCAACAAGATTGAGTAGACAGATAGTGAATCGAATTAATACTAGTTATGTTAATAATCAGAAAGAACAAAAACTGGAGAAAAAATGAAACGAATCTATATGTGCAATAACGCAGGAAATCAAGATTTCGATGATGTTGGCTAACTCCATCTGCATCATCAAAACCAATTCTGAGTAATGTTGCCGAAAGTATCTTCAACCATTGATTGTGATTATCACACAGACTCTAGTGAAATAATCTGTATCTGTTTCACGCAGCTTATTCTAACCGACGGTCAGTGATTGGATAGACTGACGTCGCATGTTAATTCGACTCCACCTTAATCTCTCCCAGCCCTTCATTCATCCAGATTCATAGCCGTATGCAACGTAAGATCTGACACGTATGTGTATCGGTCCAGCTTGTCGTTCCACATTAGCATAGCGAGATAAAGTTATCCAAACCTACCCCATGATAAGAGAAGTAGCAACCGAATCATTACTGGTAGAAAAGATGAAGTGTAGAAGGATACACGTATTAAGAGATCTCAAGATTCAGAGACTATGGAAAGATAAAGAGCAGATGCATCTGCTTCATTGAAGAAGACTCCAAGAAATATTGTTGTTTTACAATCATGTGACAAAAACCACCAATCAGAATCCCGATTTATATGGTGGGATCTCTCTGGGTTGACCAATCACATTTCCATCCTATATATCTTGAGTCCAGAAGTCAGTTACTAACCTTCATTATCGTAATTATGCTTCGAACAGAGGCAATTTATTCGCAGGCAAACAAGACCGTATCACAGTAAAAAAATAAAAACAAATGGAAATTATCAAGGAATGTTTAGTGGTTATTTCCACTTTACCGTCCCATTGTCGGTGTACTGGAGGATTATAAAATAACCAGAACTCCAGTGATTGAGGTTAGTGTGTTATGTTAACGATGAATGGAACTCATAAAACATTCGAGTTAAGTGCACTATTGAACAAGTTGATGAATAGTAAGTGAGGAGTATGTCTGTGTATTTTATGCGGGCTAACTAATCAACATGTGAAGATGTGGTTGTTCATGTTCACAACCAATCAGAGAATAGATAAAGAATTGAGGTGCAGACATACGCTCCATCATACCTACACGAATATCATACATAATGGATCGAATAGCGAGTGTAACTGGTTTGTCTTTTGTAATACAAATAAGTTAGGAAAAGGTAGTTATAAGCAAGCCAGAAGTGACTGTGAGTAGAGAATACTGTAAACTGGCAATAAAATAGAAATTGTAAACTGTGCGATAATGGTCAATGAGTTAACGGAATGCTTATGAAATATATTCAGATTGTTATGTTGACTGTTAAAGATTTATTTTCATTACATCTAATACTGTTTTCGTTTCGTTTAGGCTTAGCATCCTATAACTATCAAAAGTTTCTGTCGCCTAAACTTGGAAGTTCTCATCTAATTTTCACAGATCTACTTTTAGACACTGATCGTAAACAGGTATGTTTAAGAGAAATCCTCAGATAAAATGATACGTTGTTTTTTCCAGTTAAAATCACAATTTGATTTTAGACAATTCACCAATGGGAACTTGGAGGAATTGGATGAACATTTTGGTTTAGTTTGAGAATCCACAGGACTCTGTATCTACCATCCCGTATCCAGGGATCGAATGCAAGGTTCTTCAGTCTCGTTCGAGAACGCTTAATCTTTGAACCAGCATTCAACAGTATTGATGTCTAACTTCACGATAGTTCGCAACCGACACCCATTGTCTTCGGCAGGTCATTGTTTAAATCCGGATACGGATTAAACTATGCTAGTTGCGGCATCTCCACGAGACCTTCTGGAGTTACATCTTGAAGCTAGTCACTAGTGAGCACATATTGTTGATTAGTATAGAGAATATATATATGGAGATTGTAGAAATTTTCTGAGTTTAAATTGCAAAGTGATCCTACATAAACTACTATCGAAACGTTGAGGAGATGTTAGTTAATGCTAATCTCTCACTGCTAAGGGTTAACGACACAACTTATTTTTATGGAAGAGATGAAGTAACATGACGTTATTAGGATCTAAAGTTATTTAGCAATGATAACCAGTGACCCTGTTTTAAACTAGCCTTCTTAATGAAATATTTTAAATCGAACTAATCGTTGTTCAATATTTCAGTTGATTGAACATTAAATTATTACAACGTTTGTTTGATCCACTTTGTTTAAAATGATCGCAGCATGTTCATTTAGTGAACAGATGTTTAACTGCTTAAACATGAATAAAGTACTTGGATTTACAGATTTCAGTTAAAATTATCTATGGTACAATCAATCTAAAGCATAGAGCTTTCAATAATTGGTTCATGTATTAAAAATTAACTTACCTTAAATCAAATTGGTTTGCCTGAAAATATCGTAACAGTGCTCACTAGTGACTAGCTTCGTGAGGAAATTCTCGGAGTTCTAGTTAAGAAGACGTGACCAATGGTGTTAAACCCTGTCGAGTGTAGGCAGTAACTACCAAAGACAAATGGGTGAGGTCGCGCAAAACCCCTAGATCAATCAGAGTTAGACATTAACACCGTTGGGTGCCGTCCCAGTGGTCCGATGGTTAGGCGTTCGCGCACAATACCGAAGGTCCCGTGTTCGGATCCTGCGAGGTGCAGGAGTCGTGGATGCGCACTGCCACTGATGAGTCCCATACCAGGACGAAACGACCATCCAGTGCTTCCTGGTTTCTAATGCTGTTCTAACAATGATTGATTGATGATTTCAAATGTGTAAAAAACACAAACCTCTTTAACTCTGCCTGAAAATATTATTTAACAACTGTACTTATTTCTTGGACGATTGACTGAGCGTTTCAAGACAGTTCATACGGTACCATGAACCTAGGTTTCTTGCTAGTCAGCAACACTTTTCAGTAAGGTGTACCTTCAGTCTCGTTTGGTGAACTATTCATTCTGATTAATTAATTAAAACCTACTGAGCTATACAAGCAGCGATTGATCTCCTGTCTGACTGCGATTAGTGATTAATCGCTAACTAGTGATCCTGTAAAGTTTGTCCAGTGCTCAGGGCGGATCGAATTCTGTGATGATCATACAAACTTGAATGTATACCTGATCAAAATTACCGATTTATAAATATGAAAATAATATTCATTTTTTTAATGTTTTCACATGATATATTTTCTCTAATTGATGAATAGTTTTTTGTTAAAAAAAAGAACGTCGAATCATTCATATTATTTTTGACCTATTATGTATAGATAACACGACGTCAACCACGTTGGCAAAAGATTATGACAATTCAAAAAATTACTCAACTTTCATTGCTGGAAGAATCAAGTACCAATTGTGTTTCATTGTTACATTTTATAATTTTCAATTATTCCCTATGTATTTGTAGATTTATCTATATTGAACTGTTTAATTCGTCTGTGTTTATTCGATGGCACCAATGTAAGTGAAGGTTGTTTTTTGATTAACCGCTATAAATTTGAAATACGTGTACACATGTATATCCTACTCCAATCCTAATCAGGTTCTGATTACTAACTAATCTGATGAGTAGTCTCTATGGTTCTAGTGATAGACAGTGGTGACCGGTCGAGTTTAATTTTATTAATTGTGAGATAAATATTAAAGATAATATTTGTGTAATGTTGCGAATTTATTAGAGTTGACAGTAGATTAATTTTTGAATGACCGTCCAGTAATTCCACGTTTCAAATGATGATCTAACATTGACAAATTCATGATTTCAGTAATATTGTATTGAAGCAAAACACAGTTGAGGACAACCAATTGTATCTAGCGACAATTACAGAGTTACTCAGTAAAATTGGAAAACCATATCGTAAATCGTTTATTTGCAAAATATCAGTCCATCCTATCGAACTGGACTGTTCCTGTTGCAAAACATCAATCCATTGTCACTATTCATGCGTTTCATACAAATTCCATTGTTTTCCCACTCTTCCTTTCTTGATCTTCCCCTATCTTCTGCTGCCAGACATTACGTTGACACTCACGTCATATACTACTTATAAGTAGCTCACACCACAATATAACATATTTTCACTTTATCAACCGCACTGACCAATAGGAATTTCGTGAAAAGACAATGATCAACAAAAAACTGGATCGAACTGATTGTCACTCAACTTAAACAATAAAAATTTCATCGCTTCTGTACAATGTTCGCATTAAAAATACAAAATACAGTGAGTGACCGGAAGTAACCTGAAGTGTAAAAATATTATGCGTTGTCAATGTTGTAAATATGTTATTATTCTAGTAATGCAGATGCACAATGTGACTGTGTTTGCTTGTGTTTTCTTCTTTCGAAATCAATTTTCTCTTCTAGCCTATCAGTAATATATATTGTTTGCCGATAATACCGACTGATCGTGAAAAGAAAACATGGATCGTTGCACCACATGTAAGAAGATATTTGTTAAAATAGTAATATAAATCCATGTCAGCTATTTTTTTGTTGGTTTGTTTTAATGTCTGACGGAAAACAGTAGTGTTCTCAGAACACACTGGTTTGCACTACTGACATAAGTAGTCTTGGCATTTAAGACTACAATGATGCATGGTTTTAGGAATTCAAGAGATAGGAACTGACTTACTTACTTACTTACTTACTTACTTACTTACGCCTGTTACCCCCAATGGAACATAGGCCGCCCACCAGTTTTCTCCAACCAACTCTGTCCTGAGCTTCCCTCTCCACTTTTGTCCAATTTTTGTTCATTCTTCTCATATCTTTGTCTATTTCTCGGCGTAATGTGTTTCTTGGCCTTCCTCTTTTCCTTTTGCCTTGAGGGTTCCATGTGAGGGCTTGTCTCGTGACGCAGTTCGGTGCTTTTCGTAGTGTGTGTCCTATCCACTTTCACCGCTTCTTCCTGATTTCCTCCTCCACTGGAACTCACTTAGTAGGAACATAATTGTAGCCAGTATATAACGAAGGATAGGAAGTGTAAATTTCTTTTGCGCAGTTATCACTAATCATATAGAGTACTTTGTAAAAAGAAAACAAATCTCTCAGCAATACTCAGAACACATACAATCAGTAAGACAAGTTTCGTTGATCCGTTAATAATATGATGTGAGTATTGGATGCCTTTAATATCCACTCATTGTATTTATATATTAGCAACTAAATAAATGGGCGATCGAACTAATACTACCACTGAACTAAATACTCGAACGGTACACCACATAGAGACTAGATTCCATTACACTGGACACATGATTCATGCGAGAAATAGAAGACCAGAGTTGGCAATACACGACATTCATTACACACAATCGCTAGCAGTCATTCAGTGTTTTGTATGTGTGAAGGAGAAATCTATAAGTGAAGATGAAATCACATATTTAATAGTCAACAGGCTATGCCTGCTCATCGATTCTCGATAACCGATCACATATTCCTTTCACAGCAATCAATTTACGAGATACCAAAGAATAAAATAGTAAAAATACTTTACATCTCTATTCTGTATGATGTAGCTTTGCATAAAACACATAAATGAGTGAGTTTTTTTCTTCTTTTGGTTTGAATTAAATTCTTAAATAAAGTTTTGTTGATTTCATGGGTAATGATTACTTCAATGTGTTATAGCTATTAAAATCGAACACAGTCTCTATCCTGACTAGATAATAACTATTGGTGTTCTTCGTCAAACTAAGATATAATCATGTAGACCTTACTTCTATGTTGCATATAATTTTGTTAACAGAAGAAATCACTAGTAGGAAAGTGTATTATTGGTAAGTGACAACTGATATTAAACTGCAACAAACTTACATTATTATTATTATTATTATTATTATTATTATTCACCTGCATGATGGAGTGTCTTTTTATCATTATTAAACAACACCTAATCATGTTATGATAAAAATCTTTGACGATTTTAAAATTGCAAAAATAAAAACAAGAATAATTTTTTTCCTGTGCTTAATTGTAGAATATAAAAAAGCCTGAAAAAATGTATGAACTATCCTCTGATCTATTTGTACGTTATAATGACCAAAATATGAATAGTTGCATTTTGTTAGAAATTCAACTTATTGTCAGTAAACAGGTAAGTACGATGAGTGGATTTCAATAATGGTAATGACGTTTGTTTGAATGAAATGTCTATAATGACAGAACAAAAGAGTAGACTTTTTGAAAAATGGTAATTATAGCCTTATAGGATCAAATTTAGAGTTTCTGAAAGTATTTTCTATGTCCAAAAACGACTCACTGACTTACTTAAGCCTGTTACACCTAATGGAGGATGGGCCGTCAACCAGCGAATTATTTCTCTGGTTAGGATATGAGATTTTTAAAAAAAATTAGATCATAGATTATTGAATAAGATTTTCAGTTCTGTCATTGTCGGAATTGAACTTTGAAAGCAATCTTTACAATAAACACAGTCTTATGTAAACAGTACAATCAAGTTTTTCACTAGTTAAGATATATCAATATCAGGTTGTGGTAATTGTTGAGTTTTTTTCATGGAAATTATGAACTGATAAATGTTAGACTACCTATCAAAACCTGAGGGCACTAGTTACAATTATTTAATGTCAATGAAAGTTAGATTTATCGATTTATTGATCCAATGAATACAATGTGAGTTATCATTGATCTCGAGACTGGTAATCAGTTTCGTCAAAAAAATTATAGATCCATGACGTGAAACGTTTAAAACTTGAATTTCCTAGAGAATTTAACGACAGATGTTACAGTGAAACAGTACGAATTTTCCTTGAACTACATAAATCGCATTTCATTTGACTTGCCTGTCATAGTTACCATTATTCTCGTGAATGTATATGAACCAATATCGATATTAATGTCACACTTGATGTAGAATCTGACACAAATGTTCATTATTGGCTCAAGATAATGATACCACCTCCATCATTGCTAACGACTCTGAACCATATCATTCAACGTCTCTAAATGTTGATTATGAGAACCACACAGAGCTTAACCAGATAGTCTACACTTACATACATATGTGTATGTCCAATTATCAATGACTTTAGAAACTGGTGCTAAGTCTTCGTTTCGAAGTTTTGTCCAAACTACCACTACACCAAACAAAATCACCTGTCAAGGTAGTGAGTGGGTGGTTGTGCGAAAATAACGCATACTCCAAGCTCCTCAGTCGATGAGGATTTATTAATTCATCAACTGACTTGTCATTTTTATCTGGCGCTCTATCTCCAACCTTGATATTGTTTACTCGACGCTTTGATTACACCTATGATCAGATACTATTAGCCTACAAATATCCTCTGTTCTTTATGTTTATGCTTCACACTCGTAAAGTAGAACGAGGTGAACTGCTGTACAGTACATAAACTAGTCTTGTAGTCGGTAGGTGAATGTGCCAGACACACTAACCCACCAAGATTGATGAGATTTCCAAGATAAGCGAAGTGGTCAGTACGGTCAACTACTGCACTCTCTATTGTTGGTTCAGGAGATGACTCAATCAAGTTATAAAGGGACATTTTGTATTTGGAGCGAAAGAATCGCATTCCAAGCATACCTTTATATGTATATATATATAGTTTATTTGCCATAATTTTCCTTGTTTCAATTTCACAGAATTCTAATCAACCAATTGAATTAAGTCTGGGATGGATCACTATTCCATTATATGATGAAAATGGTCAAATCATAGCAAATAAGTGAGTGTGTTACATTTTGTTAAAATTTGTAATAAAAATGATAATTTTGAATTTTTTTTTAGAACTTGTGACTACCGATTACAAGATAGTTTACCTTTTGAAAATGGGAAAGGGAATAAGACAGCGACTAAAGATGGTAAGTATTGTAAATAGAAGTCATAAAGTACGAATGTTAATAGTAATAATAATAATGATCCTGCCCATCCAATCTAAATTATTTCCATTAATTAATGCTAATAATATTAATAACAATAATAATTATAATAATAGACTTCGGATGTCTACTTTTCTAACCTACGTCATAGTCAACTTGAATGGAATCCTCGTGTATGATAATATTCGGTATTTCATTTCAATCTCGAACCGATCTAAGCTGGGCAACCATCGAAAACTTTGAAACACTGGATGTACGTTTCGTGCTAATTAATCTGATCAGACTGGACTGCTCAGTTTTCAGCATCTATAACACTGCAGCTGGTAATCGAACCCAGAACTTTGGGTTCTGCACACGGACAGTACTGACTTCCAGTCCCGGGTTAATTATCATCTATTAGATATAGGCACATCCAGTTGTCGAATCTCAAATTGAATGAAACGTACGTCCTGAATTAAACACGTTAGATACCACACCCATCTATGCAAATAATGCATCAAATTATTCAGTCTCACGATTAGATCTCATTGTAGACATTACAAAAAACACTATTGTTTACAATTAGATCATCATGAGACTCTAATATACGTGAATTTTTAAATGGAAATATTGAACCAATCAAGATAACTTGTAACTCAAAGCAGTAGACTGAATAACTGCACATAATAGTGGAGCCGTTTCAGGGTTACTACCGGTGCCAATTCCGGATAAGCGAGTAGCCTTTTCATGGAGTTAGTAACCCCATCCTGCACAAAACTAACTCTCTAAAAACACGCTAACCAGAACCAATAATACTTCATACCTCTACATATAGGTAAACAGTACAAATTAATAAGTCAGAAGGCAGGTGTACTAGTAATGATCAATCAGTACAATAAAATATAATAAAAGTTCTAGTCAATAGTTGAACAATGGGATCTAGGTTGCATTTAAGAGGTTACACATTAAAACAATCGTAACCAAAACTTATCCCACTTACATTACAAAAAGATTATAAATAATAAGGTGAAGCAGAATCGAAATAGTGAGATGTGAAGAACAATAGACAAGTATAGGGTATAAAAAAAGTATCAAAATCATTTTACTACTCATATTTAGTCAAGGAAGAGACAAGAATGTCATAAGTTTCTTTTCAACGCATAAACAAGGATAATAAGTTCGAATCCCGTAGGTTGAAAAGACAGAATCCCACTTCAATGAGAAACAATGAAATTATACAATGGATCAGTCTAAATGATTTGGTTTTATCCGCTATCTTACAACTCTCGACCAGGCGTAACAACGAAACTAAACTTCTTGGTTATTAAATTTATTTCATTGTGATCATGGAGTCGTAAATTGCCTTGACTGGTTGATGATTATCACAGAAATATTCATGTATGTCGAGATAAATTCTAATGACGATCTAACTGAAGCCATTATTGTTCGATTACATTTGCGTTGTTTTAATACGAATAAGTAGAGTTTGGGATAAAAAGCATGCTGGCTTTATTTGTGTTGAGACAAGCATTCTTCTGCCACTAACCGATAAAGTTGACCATTCAAGATTTTTGAATATTTTTTCCTAGTATTCGATGAATGAGTACTCTTAATAGGTTTCTTTACTCTGGGGGTTTCATTTCAATCATTTGAAGCGATCTTCACGTATCTTAATATGAACAAATAATTGTAACTCATACTCTGGTGTAAGCTACTTATAAGTAGTATATGACGTGAGTGTCAACGTAATGTCTGGCAGCAGAAGATGGAGGAAGATCAAGAAAAGAAGAGTTAGAACACAATGGAATTTGTATGAAACGCATGAATAGTGACAATGGATTGATGTTTTGCAACAGGAACAGTCCAGTTCGATATGATGAAATGATATTTTGCAAATTAACGATTTATGATATGGTTTTCCTATTTTACTGAGTAACCCTGTAATTACCGTTAATTACAATTCGGTTGCCCCACCTGTGTTCTCGTCCACTACAATACCAACTTACGAGGTGAAAAAAGTAAATAATTTGACAGTTACAGCTTAAAATGAAATATCCAATGAAAGCAATGCTCATACATTTAGCACTTACTTATCAAATGAACAAAAAACATTTACATGAAGCTGTTCAATATCACGCAAAAATTGAACATTGAAAAACTGATCTTTTACAAATCCACAGATATATATTTATCCCATCCTATTTTTTTTATCTTCACAGTTAGTTTAAAAAGTCGTATGCAAAATTTACTTTTCAATAAAGCAACTCAAGTAACGATTCGATTTAGTCAACCGAATAAAGAACAGCAAGATAAATTAGAGTAAGTATTTTAATTGTATTTAATCGTAAAAATTCATTTCGCAAATTTATCATTTAATTATTTGTTAATATTTTCACTATAGAGTTATGGAGATCGTTGAATTTCATTTTTTTTGAAATCATGAGTCAGTCAATGTCAGAGCACCATTAGAAACCTGGATGGCCGTTTCGTCCCGATATGGGACTCATCAGTAGTGAGCATTCACGACTCCCGCCAACGGAAGTCACCAGAATATGTGATCTGTGTCAATGATTGTAGGCCTAATGGAGTTTGACGGGAATGGTTTCGTTCCCCAGCATACTACGTTGACGTCACGCCTTGCAATTAATTTCTCATCTTAACCAGGTGACTTGCTACAATCGACACTAGCAGCGGGTAACGGCATACATTTGAATCAACTGTCAACAGAAATACTAGGCAAAACCACTACCACGTGCACCTGTTCGTGATATGCGGTTGATTGATGCGCGTTGGTTGTTGCTGACCTTGACAAGGTTCAGTAGAGTGCTTAGGCATTGACTGAGTGGCCTGTCGGATGATGTGGCTAGAATCCAGTGACATGTCACTGGTTCTTGCTTTTATTACATATCCTCTTACTTGAAAGAAAAGAGAACGTAATAATTTCGCAAATAACTTTCTAAATAAAACTTTCAAAGCAAAAACATAATTGAATGAATAATTGTTTACAATAACTACTTCTTCACTTAGGCTGCACAGTTATAAGTCCATAATTAAGGTCTAGTGTTTCAAGGGTCGTAAATAAAGCACACTAGTGAATCAAACCATGTTATGTGTCCAAAGCCAATGGTACTACAAATATTTCAAAAATGTGTATCATTGGTAAATCATGAGGATTATTTACAAAAAGTTAAAATACACCTATTTCTAGTAGAAAAATTGAATAAAAACATTCTTTGATTGTTAATTCATTCATGAGTGAGGTTGAGCAAAAACCTCAGATGGATCAAGATTAAACATTCACACCTGTTGGATGCCGGCTCAGTGGTCCAGTGGTTAAGCGTTCGCAAGCGAGACCGAAGGTCCCGGGTTCAATGTCTGCTAGAAGCGAGAGTCATGAATGCCCACGGCTGATGAGTCACATACTAGGATGAAATGGCCATCCAGTGATTCCAGGTTTCTAACGGTGGTTTAACATTGATCAACTGTTGATTTTATTTCATATCTACATAATGAATGTTGATTCACTGCCAAATATCAACTAGAAGAAATTGATTAAAATTTAGAATTCTTAGTCGTCAATAGATAGAAAGTATTTCTACTATATAGATTCTAGATTCAAACTGGTTTACATATATTTTAAAATCTTATTCCACAGTTTACTTTGTTATTCGGCCCATTCAGTATTATTCATCCACTCTTTCGAACAGTGTAATTCTAAATTGATTGGAAATGTAAAACATTTTTACTGTTTTGTCTCACATAATTTCATATAATAATAATATGTTATCATATAATTCATAATGTTTTCAATGAATATTTAATTTTACAGCTCTTTGCCTGACATTTTCGTTGGTCTAATGGCGTATACATCATTCTTCAGTTATCATCGTGATTTCTTAGCTAATATATTCCCTGGTTTTGGAAGAACTGACGATAAAGATCAATTTGTTCTAAGGCATGTTCAACCAGAAATTGCATTGTTTCCTGTTGTAGCTGATTGTCCATTGCTTATTGAATGTCTACGTGTAAGCTGCGTAATTATTGTCGTAGTTTTTTTTTCTGTAGCATTAGTGTTTATACGAAAAAAAACTGTTAATTTTATGGTCTTCACCGCATGACAGCACCACTATAGTATTATGTACTGATATGTCCAGTCCGCATATCTTCTCCCAGCTTTTCAAAAAAAACTGATTAATCCATTTCTGCTGTAGCTATTTATAAGTCTTTCGGCCTTGTCACTTATTCGCTTATAAATATGTTTGGGTGTAGGAAGGATTTGATTTTGACCAATTCGGTCTCGTGTGCTGTTATGGGTATGAGGGCGGTTGTCACTGCCCGGCTGCCCACACCGCGGAACCTGAAAAGGAAGGTAGATTAGTGTTGGTCTTAGAGACCTGGATGCGTGACCGCAGTCCCAAGGAACAACTGCTTGAGGACGGTCACGCACGGCCTTTTTATGAAAGGTTTTTAGAGTATTAGCTACGCTCATAAATGCCCTTAGTGGGCACCCTCACGCCTGGAGACGGAAATCCGTGAGGTAGGGTGAGGTGTGACATTTTTAGGGTCGACCTTTTCTAACCCTTCCTTGAGTGTATATAAGGTATTGCTTACTTCGCTCACCACATGTCTAGCTTATTTTGTCTGACTACCAATACTTAGTCATGATGCCTGATTACACTTATTTGGCTGACTCGTCTTCTCCACTTCACTTTCCTTCACTAAGCATTTAGACTTTGCATTCTATTGTCTGTCTGCTTAAATGCATATATGAAATAAATTCCTCCACAAAACCGTTTTGGGCCTTTAATCACTGCTGTCGCAAACATGAGGTTCACTTAAAAGAATGCTTAATCGAAATTAGATGAAAGATTTATTCCATAGAATATTCAATCGTTCTTCAAATTTGAGTCAGGTCCCAGGTTACAAGACTACACTTTTATCTTCGTTCTGCAAGAATCTCAGATATCTGAGACTAGGCACAATGATCTAATATAACAGCTGAACTACTTCCTAGGATAAACATGGACAGTTAATGAGGAACTAAAAGCATATTTCCATATTGAAACAACAGTACATGAACATCATACAAACTTGATAGGATATGGCGTATGCGATGATAATCCATGCAACTTAGAATCTCCATAAACAAAGTCCCACTCATTTGAAGATTGAATAACGTTAATTAATGGAATCACATTTTTGTCTCATTTCTCGTATTTCCCTAGGTAAATATGAACTCAGTATTGTACTCTTTAAAGCTAATGAATTCATTGATTGAACGTAGAGCTCCTCTCTGTCTTTCACTTATTTTATCTGCACAAAATAGTACGTCTTTGTGTTATCTATCCTTCTTGATTTCATAGGTAACGTGGCAAGATCGTCTGAAAACTATTCCAAACAACAATAAGGTAAAAGAATTTCTCTAAATTAGTGAAAGTTTGATGTTTTTGTTTGATTCTTCCGCCTAATCCAGTTACTGCTGCATACTTCTACGATTGATTCATCATAGAGAGAGACAGAAGACCATATCTACTTAGTAAGCTTTACTGCTGAAAACCGAATAATAAAGTTTACAGTGCAAGGGTAGATATAAAGTTTCCTGACAAGCGGAAACTCATAAGAGCCCGAAAGCATGCATCGCTCTTTTATCGTGCAATAATGGAAGGGCATGTGATCTACCAAATTTTCCTGATTGATTACTTCCTCACGCTCGAAGAGCATCATATCTTCGTCTTTGAATTCAGTTGTGTGTACCATTTTCTTGTAGGTCATTTGTGAGACTAACTGCCACGTCAGACATTTGAAACCAGATGTCTTGAACTCGAAATCTAATCGACTGGTATCAGATTTCGGATTTCACCTTACTATGCATTTTTCATGACGTGAGTAGTCGAGAAGCATTTATAAATCACTTATTTTAAAATCTGATTGTCTTATTCATGCATTGTAAGGCACATTGACTGCTGAACAATGAAAATGTTTTGTCGCTTCCTACAACTGTCAATCACTATTAGCACTCAGTATGATTCATGCAAAAATCCTGAAAAGAAATCAAAAGCTGCTACTTTTTCTCTTTTATCGATCACTTTACAGAAAGATTCTCAATACTTGAAGAAATTATATTCCGATCATTTCAGAAGAGTGATATATCCTCTCCTATGGCTACAGGAGATTCAATTTCCTAATGTGATGAGTCCACAACAATTCGAGGTAAGATAATCTCCTAACTTTATTAAATTTTTTTCCATTATATATAAACCTAACAAATGATTGCCAATACGCCGCACTTCTCTGGGCCCTCATAGGAATTAGAAATGTAAAGCCTCAATTATTACTTACATCTTAAACACTCTAATCTTGAAGTGAAAAGAATTGTTCACACTCACTATGAACATTAGGTGGCCACGAAACTCATCAAAATATCGACAACTATATAGAAATGACAATAATCAGTTATCACAGAGATTTCATGAAGTAACTGTAGGAAATTACTTGGTCCAATGACAAAATTAATGATGATCGGCTGTAGCTACTGATTTGATGATTTTTAGTTTATTTCATTAGATATTTCCTTATTCCAAGTTGTGTCTCTTGAAAAAAGCAAACAATAAGATTATTATCCAGTGTAATATCAGTTTAAACTGTTTCACTTTCACTCTGTCAATGAATACTGTAAGATATTCAGCTTTATTTCTTTGCACCATTTAAACGTGCGACAGTCGTACTCTGCAAGATCTATAATATTTTCAGTCACAAAAAGTATTAAATGAGATTACTTTCTTGATGTATAGTTCAAAAGACTAGATGTTTTTATGAACATATTCCTAATTTATATGTTTTGCATTTAATAAGAATTCATCTGAATCAGTTTCTTTGGCATTAATCTTTCCGAATCGATAAGATAACTTACGTGTTGGTAAACAAGCAAATAGAAAATTTTTCTACTGAATATCATGAACTTATGATGATTAATGGATTCCTTAGTAATGCAAAGTCGCTTATATTTTCCAATTTATTTAGACTTGTTGTTTACAGATAGAAAATTCTGTATTCATAAGTCATTTACAATAGACAGTACTGATTTTCCATTATAGAGTTATGGCGATTATGGTTTATTACGGAAATCATGAATCAATCATTGTTAGACCACCATTAGAAACCTGGAAGCACTGGATGGTCGTTCCATTGGATGCCGGTGCAGTGACCCTAGAGGTTAAGTGATCGCCTACAAGACCGAAGATCCTAGGTCCGAGTCCTGCGAGTGGCAGTAGTCGTGGAATGTCCACTGACGAGCAGTCCCACACCAGGAATAAAAAAGGCCGTTCAGTGATCCCAGGTTTCTAATGGTGGTCTAACAATGGTCGATTCATGATTTCAGTAATATTCAATGTTCATTTTATGATATAATTTGAAAGAGTACCGCCAACTGCAGATAATCTACAGATGATCAGGTTGATTGTTCAATTATTCTGCATAACTATTCAATATTTATTGACACAACTATGAACGATTTATTAGCCAATCAGAAAAGTGTTTTGTGTGATAAATCAACAAGTAAATGTAACGAATTTACGGTGAATTAAATAGTTTCAATATGATCAATGTTAAATAATTATCTGTTGGAGTAGATCAAAAAAATGCTATAGAGTTAGGTCACTGATTTGAATGGAGGAGGGGGAATAAATTATATCTACGAAAACATCCTTGACTCCATCAAGAATGATACCATCATGTACGATCAGATAAAATCAGGTGGTAGTAATTTGTGTAATTTGGGGCTTACATAATAGGTCAGATGTATTGTGCAGTTTGGTTATAACAAAAATAATTTTATCATTTTAGAAAATAGATCAAAGTAGTTTTCAGTGAGTTTTTGTTTGAACGGAACACTCAAGCTTATTTGTAGATTTCAATTTCTTCACTGAATTTTTTTACTTCACTTAAAGTTTCTTTTTCTCTTGTTATTGGTGCTGTTGAAAGAATGAAACACCGAAATTGCTCAATCTTATTGAACAAATTCGACAAGATTTTGTCAAATTTATTACATCGACTAAATATAAATTCAAGTTATTTACATCGAAAGAATTCACTTGTCCAATTCAATTTACAAATTGACATTGACATTTAACTGTATGTACATAGTAGTAATATAAAAAAAGTATGAATTAAGTGGAAAATGCATTGTAATTCAATTCGACTTTTCTAGAAAAAATTTTTTTTAATGAAATACATTGATAATTAATGTGAATGTCTTTCCTTTCATTGGATAATAAAAATATTCACACTAGCTTATTTGTAGAAGCCATATAGGTTATTCACTGAAATTCGTTTGATGGAAAAAGATCGACCTGATAGATTAGTACATGTGTTTGACCGAACGATGGCATTCATATTTGTTTGTGACTAACGGATACATATAGATATATACGAATGGACATACATACATATGATTTGATTTAGTCAATGAACCTTCTTTCTCACTGTCCACTCAAGTAGGCGGTTGGGCGCATGTATGAGTATCAGAATTGACACAATAACAGAGGTACTTTGTTGGGGATGTTAGATCCTCAGAACTCGCTTGATAAATGCCTTATTTTGGATTTCACGTTTGCGAGCATCGGCTGATCAGTCGACCTTGAGATTTCAATTCTCACCAGGAAAATCCATGGCTGCTGTGTATTTTAGTGTGCTATTTTCGTAACTGTCTCAAGAACGCTTCTATGATGTATAAATAAACGAGAGTTGTGTGCTTGATTGTATTGTGATTGATGGGTGTTTGTAGAATATACTTTCTACGCTTATCAAGCCTTCTGTTTACAGCTTGGGATTCAAGGTAGCTTATTTGGACGCTGGAAATTGTCTCGTTCGCGTTTATCGACTAAGGTGAACTCGTAATAGCTTCAAGCGTACCTAGTGACGAACATAACATACTTAAGCTTTAAAATTAATAATCTTAGAATTAATCGCCCACACAATGTAACATTTGACTAGAATAAATGCATTCATCTAGGTTATCAAATATTAAATTATCACAATGAGAGGGAACTAACGAAATTCGAAACAAAGGATGAATAATAATATCAATATGACACGGAGTATCTAAACAAAAGTGGTATAGTTCAAAAAGATCGAATGAAACGACACTAGACCTAAGATTGATAACGATTGAAAATAAATGTCATTACAGCACCGCGATCAATTTTGTGCCATGTCACCGAAATATAGATTGTGATCATCGGACGGATTTCAACCTAGAAGTCTACATCTGTTTAAACAGGTCATACGTGCCCAAAAAAAACTCCGCCAGTAGAACCTTCGGGGCTACTGCCGGTCCCAAGCCCGGGTAAAGGAGGAGGGTTGTACATGGGGTTGGCGACCCCATTCCGTCAAAAACTAACTTGCCAAAAAAACGCTAACCAGAAAAATAATTCAAACCATTTTAACTCTGCCCTGGGAGTTGGAGGAAGAATTATGACGTCGCGTGATGAAAGCCGAGCTCCCTCGGAAGTCACGGGGCCGATGCCTCTTCTCACAACCAGAGCAACCATTCTTTTAGGTATATGGAACGTTCGTACATTGTGGGAGACTGGAAGACTATTTCAAGTTGCGGCAGAAATGAAAAGATACAACCTCGAGGTGCTCGGCATCAGTGAAACGCATTGGACACAAGTAGGACAACTGAGACTAGCTTCACGGGAACTGCTGTTTTACTCTGGTCATGAAGAGGAAAATGCTTCACTTACACAAGGAGTTGCACTGATGCGGTCCAAACAACCACAAAAGGCACTGATAGGATGTGAATCTCATGGACCAAGGATCATTAAAGCATCCTTCAAAACAAAGAAAGCGGACATTACAATGAACGTCATCCAATGTTATGCACCTACCAACGACTACAATGACGACGTTAAAGATCAATTCTACGAAAGACTGCAGTCAATCGTCGAGAAATGTTCACCAAAGGATTTGACGATTCTTATGGGAGACCTGAATGACAAGGTTGGAATGGACAACACTGGATATGAAGACACCATGGGACGACATGGACTGGGAGAAAGGAACGAAAACGGTGAGAGGTTTGCAAACTTATGTGCCTTCAACAAACTGGCCATCGGTGGCACAATATTCCCGCACAAACGCATACACAAAGCCACATGGATTTCACCGGACCACACTACACAAAACCAAATCGACCGTATCTGTATCAACAAAAAATTCAGAAGGACTATGGAGGATGTGAGAACCAGGAGAGGAGCTGATGTAGCCTCAGATCACCATTTGCTAATCGCCAAAATGAAACTGAAACTAAAGAAGCACTGGACAACGGGACAGACAACATCACAGAAGTTTAATACGGCCTTTCTTCGGGATACTGTAAAGCTCAACGAATTCAGGATAGCCCTCACCAATAGGTTCCAGGCCTTCCAGGATCTACACAATGGAGAGGAAGCAACATTGGAGAACAATTGGAAAGGGATTAAGGAGGCAATCACTTCAACATGTCAGGAGGTCCTTGGTCGCAAGAAGCACCATCACAAGGAATGGATCTCTGTTGATACTCTCGCAAAAATTGAAGAAAGGAGGAACAAGAAGGCAGCTATCAATGTCTGCCGAACAAGAGCAGAGAAAGTTAAGGCGCAAGCCGAGTATACAGAAGCAAACAGGGAAGTGAAGAAGAGCATCAGAGCTGACAAACGAAAATATGTGGAAGATCTAGCAATGACGGCGGAAAAGGCTGCAAGAGAAGGAAACTTGAGACAATTGTACGAAACAACAAAGAAGCTCGCCGGAAACTATCGTAAACCAGAACGACCAGTGAAAAGCAAGGATGGCAAAGTAATCAGCAACACTGAACAACAGCGAAATAGGTGGGTAGAGCACTTTAAGGAACTATTGAATCGACCAGCTCCACTGAACACACCCAACATCGAAGCAGCATCCACGGATCTCCCAATTAATATTGGAGCACCTACGATTGAGGAGATCAGTATGGCCATCAGACAAATCAAGAACGGCAAAGCAGCAGGACCAGACAACATTCCAGCAGAGGCAATGAAAGCAGATGTGGAAGCAACTGCGAAAACATTTCACATCCTCTTCAAGAAGATTTGGGATGAGGAACAAGTACCATCAGATTGGAAAGAAGGATACCTGATCAAAATACCAAAGAAAGGCGATCTCAGCAAGTGTGAGAACTACAGAGGCATCACTCTTCTTTCAATACCAGGCAAAGTCTTCAACAGGGTATTGTTAAACAGAATGAAGGACTTCGTAGACGCCCAACTTCGAGATCAACAGGCTGGATTTCGTAAGGATCGATCGTGTACTGACCAAATTACTACATTAGGAACATTGTGGAACAATCAATTGAATGGAACTCACCACTCTACATCAACTTCATCGACTACGAGAATGCATTCGATAGTGTGGATAGGAAAACACTGGAGAGGCTTCTTCGACACTACGGGGTGCCTGAGAAAATAGTTAACATCATACGGAACTCTTATGATGGATTCAACTGCAAAATCGTACACGGAGGACAGCTAAAGGACTCTTTCGAGGTGAAGACCGGTGTCAGGCAAGGTTGCTTACTCTCACCCTTTCTCTTTCTCCTGGTGATCGACTGGATTATGAAAACGTCAACATCTGGAGGGAAGAACGGTATCAACTGGGCAATTAGGACGCAGCTGGACGATCTGGACTTCGCAGATGACTTGGCTCTTCTATCGCACACTCAACAACAAATGAAAGAGAAGACGACCAGTGTAGCAGCAGCCTCTACAGCAGTAGGTCTCAACATACATAAAGGAAAAAGCAAAATTCTCCGATGCAACACAACATACACCAGTCAAATAACTCTTGATGGGGAGGCCTTGGAGGACGTTAACACCTTTACAAATCTGGGCAGCATCATCGACAACCAAGGTGGATCCGATGCAGATATGAGGGCACGGATTGGCAAAGCAAGGGCTGCATTTCTACAGTTGAAAAATATCTGGAACTCCAAACAACTTTCAACCAAAACCAAAATCACGATTTTCAATACAAATGTGAAGACAGTTCTACTGTATGGAGCGGAAACTTGGAGAACTACCAAAGCCATCATCCAGAGGATACAAGTGTTTATTAACAGCTGTCTACGCAAAATACTTCGGATTCATTGGCCAGACACGATCAGCAACAACGTATTGTGGGAGAGAACAAACCAGATTCCAGTGGAGGAGGAAATCAGGAAGAAGCGGTGGAAGTGGATAGCACACACATTGCGGAAAGCACCTAACTGCGTCACGAGACAAGCCCTCACATGGAACCCTCAAGGCAAAAGGAAAAGAGGAAGGTCAAGGAACACATTACGCCGAGAAATAGAGAAAGATATGAGAAGAATGAACGAAAATTGGACAGAACTCGAGAAAGAAGCCCAGGACAGAGTTGGTTGGAGAAAACTGGTAGGCGGCCTATGCTCCATTTGGGGTAACAGGCGTAAGTAAGTAACGTGCCCAAAAAAGCTTTATATATTAATGATGTTTCCCACCCTGGTTATCTTCTGAATTGTTAATGTCCTAACCAAAAAGGATATTCGGATAGACTGTGATTAAGCTTGTGTTAAATGTATACTGAAGATTCAAAATGATGAAGGTTTACACTTTTATTAATCAACTTAGCATTTTGACTTAAATCACTCCGCTTACTAGCAGTGCTCTAGGGAAAATACAATTAAATACTTGCAAACTATTCATAATTTCTACTTTCATAGCCCATGTTTTCCAGGCATACGCAACAAATTAGCTCTTTGATAGACATGTGGATATTTCATCTGCATTGCGGATGCCGTAAGCTGGTGAAACCCAAACAAGTTTTCAGTATTCTTTGACGATATTTCACTAGCTACCAGTAGTGAATTATTAAACATATGGCGAATTGATCGAAACAAACGTAGATCACTTCTTGAAAATATTATTATACAACTTTTTCCGAGGAAGGTGGACACTAGATATTAAAGTGAAGCTGTTATGTATATGTAGCTCCACTTTCTAAAGTTTTAATGATTAACACTATTAGTCTCCAAAAGCACATTGTAGTGTAGGATATGCGAGACAGAAGTAAACTAAATATTTGTTACCAGCTTAGATTCAAGTCCTAAGTAATGTGTACGAATGTACCTTAAGTGGAACGATTTCATATTTTTATACTTACTGTAACTTCATACGCGCGGAGTATGAAACAGAAGACCTTCAGAGTATCATAATAGCACTGTATCATTAACCAACATATATGGTACCTAACGATCACTATTTTCTAACCCTGAGTGTGCGAGGAGGCACTGACGAATTTCAGAGTAAATGTCATCACCTAGTGTATATGTGTTTTACGATTCTTAAAATAATAATATACATCTCTAGAGTTCCAAGGAGAACTGTTGTCGGTTATGAGGCAGCTGCTACCCGCAGAGAGCAGTAAAAGATGCCTTTAGGCAATGAATTTCATTAATTGATCGAAACTCATCTACTAACTAAAGGACGGGGTTACTGTGCAGCGGTTCGCTCTGTACTACTTTATGGCTGTGAAACATGGCCGGTAAGAGTTGAGGATATTTGTAGGCCGTTGCTATTCGATTACAGGTGTGTCTTCGATGTATTACTCGTATATCCTGGGGCAATCGGGTAAGAAATGCTGTCGTTAGGAAACGAGTACTAGGTAGGGATGGTAAATAAGTTGATAAAGTGGTGAATCTTCAACAGTTGAGATGGTTGAGGCATGTACCGCGTATGCTTAACCACCGACTGCCTTGTCGAGCTATGTTTTGTGGTGTAGAAGTAGTTTGGACCAAAACACGGCACAAATCCATGAAGTCACTGACAAGTGAACTAAGCCATGTTGATAAGTGTAGACTATTTGGTTGGGGTCCGCGATACAACAGTAACCAATGTTTGGAAACTGAATGATGTGGCTCAACCTTTAGCACTATGAGATTTGAATCGACAATTGCATCTCTGTGCTACCGTGATATGGCGACTTGAACTGATGCACGTACGTACGAGGTTCTACGTTTTCACTGATTGACTAGATCGATTGAAACTAGACATATAAACTATTGAATGCTAACCTAGTGGTTGAAAAGTTTAACGATAAGACCTGAGAACAGATGAAGTTCTATTCCCGATGGAACTGTTAAAGAGTTACACCATGTGCTACAAGAATAAAACAGATGTCTAATGTTTCTTTTGTGAGTTTCAACTGTTGCAAAATTAAAGTGAAAGTATTGTGGCGTGAGCTACTTATAAGTAGTATATGACGTGAGTGTCAACGTAATGTCTGGCAGCAGAAGATGGAGGAAGATCAAGAAAGGAAGAGTGGGAACACAATGGAATTTGTATGAAACGCATGAATAGTGACAATGGATTGATTTTTGCAACAGGAACAGTCCAGTTCGATATGATGAAATGATATTTTGCAAATGAACGATTTACGATATTGTTTTCCGATTTTACTGAGTAACTCTGTAATTTTCGTTAAATACAATTCGGTTGCCCCACCTGTGTTCTCGTTCACTACAGTATGATGTAAACTTTGAAATAAAATTTCAAAATAATTTAATTTACACAAGTTCGTATTTTTTTATTAGAGAGAAATACATGAATAATTAATTACAAACGTATGCGAAATATCAGTAATCATAAAATAATGAAAAAAAATATATCTATATTTATAAATATATACAAATATATAGATGATGAACAAACTTCTCAACTGAGACGTTTAAATTTCGCAATAAAAGTTGGTCCATAATTACACGATATCGATGGGATAATTAATAAGCCATGACATGTGTTGTTGTTGTTGTTCAGAAACAAATGTTTATCACGTTTCTGATGCTTATTCATGTTATCATTGTCACTATCGTTATTATTATTAATATCATTATTGTTAAATAAAGGCAATTGAATGGGGATAATTTTTATGCCTAATTTCGTATAACAAGCCGTCAGTAAATCATAATACGGTTTTAAATTGATCAAAGCGAATTTAATATCTCCTGATTGATGATTCAATAGAAATGATTGAATCACTTCTTGATTTTGAGCTGGTGATAATGTGGACGTGGAGTAGACAATGTAACCACCAGGTTGACAGAGTTTCATTGCTTGACTAAACAACAAAAGAAGAGGGAGAAGAAGAAGAAGAACAGAATCGAAAAAAAAACGCGAAGAAGAGATAGTTAATTTCAGGAGAAGAAACATTTGATTGTATATACGATTGATTGGTCACTAATCCGTGATCAATCTGATTATGCATGGCTGCTATCTGTGTCCTACATGAGATGCGTTACAGCTCGAATAAACTCACCACGAGAGTTAGTTGGTTAAGACAGAGTGTTGAATCAGCTAGGCATATTGAGCTAACAAATGCTAAGTAGTATGAAACCTAAGTTCAAGGTCTTTGGTCCACTACCTCTCCGACTACTGATTTACTCTTTATCTTTTTCTTATGTTTACAATTCCTTCGGTAATTATTTACTTCAGTGCATTGTATGATGGCATTTTATCTGCCAATGCGTATTTTATTTATTGTCATGAACAATTGTTCAGAATTTAAAAAAAAAAACCCATTCATTAAAAATTACAACATTCACTCTCCCATCAAGAAGGTATAGTATAATAAGCATAACTTACCGAAGAAGATTCAATTGATTTCTCGGTAGATTAATACGTAGACGAGCAAGTCCCGGTTCGAACACATGAGTATCACCCGAAGTGATTGCATAACGATCAGCTGAACAAGGCACATTGACTAGGATTTTATTGAATTGATAATCTTTATCAACAGTCATAGAGGAAGAATAACTAGCCAGACCATGGTCGTTTGAACAAACAATATCGATTTTAGTGTCAATGTCTTCTTGTTCACCATAGTTGTTGGAATTAATTCCTCCAGTTGATTTAAAAGTGTCAATCATTTGTTGAACATGCGTAGCACGTGATGAAGAACGTAGTACACATAATAAACGATCTTGAACAATTTGGGAAACAAAAAAAATAAATAATTTAAACAAGATAATAATGTTAATTTTTGCATTAATTACTAGTAAAAACTTGAATGAATCAAGTTGACAAGAACAATAGATACGGATTTGATTGAACTTGAAATGATTGTATAGATTCGGGCGAACATTTGATTAGTTATGGTTAGCATATGGTTATCCAAATGCGGATTGCCTAGACACAAGTTAGAATGTAATTGTCAGCGGGATAATCCAAAACATTACAAATTAAATTAAATTTTATATCGGTTGCACAAGTGAGTGATTGCCCAAACTCAATAGTTAAAGCATATAAACCGACGGCGTTTGAAGTGAACGGCGCTGGGTTCTAATAAGCATTAACTCAGAGATTTAGGTACAGATGTAGCTACAGACGAGTCCCAAACAGGACGAAATACGCATCTTGAATTCCACTGCTATTTACATTCCATCTATTCCATGTAAGTATACAGTTTTTTTTGATTAAGTTGCACACAATAATAACTGAATATAGATAATAAAGGCTATCAGTATATATACATAGTCTTATGAATTGAGATAAAATTATTATGATAGACGGATAACATGTATAACTCAATAGTATCCGTATAATTCACGGTGACATTGACATGAACATTTTCATACACACTATTTTATGCACAGACAAACAGGAAATAACTCAATGTTTCTTTATTTATCATGTCTCGACCATCTGTCAACATCAAGACAGTAGGTAGACGGAATTTCATCACAGCTTGAAAGTATTTTTGAAGTGACCATAATAAGTTGTTTACGAGAAAAAAAAGAAAAATCATACAGATTTTTGTTGAGTCTTTGCTAAAAACTGTTATACACGTCAATTGATATGCGTGAACTATTACGAGTTCACCTTAGTCGGTAAACGAGAGCCAAGACCAATGATCCAGTGACACGGTAGGCTACTCCAATCCGAGCATCCTAAGACCCCACCAAGTAGAAGAATAAGTCTTGATATGGCGTAGAAAGTGTATTCTACAAGCACCCAGAAAATATGAGATTCTTAAGCAAATAAATCGAGTTCATTAATATAGTTAGGACGACCGTGAATACTAACCAATAGGAAACAACATTTGAAGTATGTGAACTTGTTAGTTAGGACGTCCTTAAATATTGACCAATAGAATTAGACTTACAAAATAATTTCTTTAGGATATTTGATGAATATTCTAGCGTAAACCGTGGAATTTAAAATTAGGGCAAAAAGTAAAAAGTCATCATTTCTGAAAAATATAAATTATTGAAATGTAATTTCGAAAAAATAAATTCCACAGTTATTAAATAACACCTTTTATTGTGTAGAGTCAAAATGATAATATGAGCAATAACAAGTTACAATACACAACAGCTACAATATTCAAATATTATTGTGAACATCTGTAAATACAAACAAACACTATGCTGAATAATTATTGGCAAAATCAATGATCAATGAATTTCATATATAAAAAAGAGTTGGAAAACTAACTTAATAAGCCGGTTTGTAGCGCGATAACCGATTTAGTGCCAGAAAACGTAGACAAATTGATCATATTATCATTCTTTTGTAAATTCAATGCTAGAATAGTTATAACAGAGCCTAAATCTACTGCATGAAAATCTAAAATGAACAAAAATCAATAAGGTAAACAATTACTTGTAAAATATCACAGGGTCATACAGTAAGGAAGTTATAGATGGATAATGTAAGCAATGTTTATTAGATAGGTTAATCATATTAACTGATAGGAGATAGAGACGATGTGTATAAACAATTTATATGAAACTTAGAAGTCTGATGCTGGATAAGGTGAGTTACACTTTCTTCCAAATAAGTCTCCACTGGACTATTACAAAAGTTATATTTTAATTTTCAAAACATGAATGGATCAATGTTAGACCGCCATCATAAACCTGGAAGCAGTGGATGGCCGTTTCGCCCTGTTATGGTACTCACCAACAGTGCGCATACGCGACTCCTGCACCTCTCAGGATTTGAAGTCAGGACCTAATGCGGGAACGCCTAACCTCTGGACCACTGAGCCGGTTTCTAACAGTGTTTATGTCTAACTTCGGTCTTGCGGAGCCTCATACACTATCTCCGGTAGTTACTGTCTACAGCCGAACAGGGTTGAACTCCAATGGTCACGACTTTCCATTAGAAATCGGAGAAACTTCCTCATGGAGCTAGTCACTAATGAGCACATTCTAATTTTCATTATATGGTTGTGGAGATTTCAAAGTAACTCAACAATCTCCACAATCTAATGTATCCAATTTCTTAGGCTGGATAAAAATAGTATTATTTGTTTCAGTAAAAGTCACACCATTCATGGTACAGTGACAGTTCAATCAAGCATTGGTTTAGCAAGAGAACATAATAATACTGACTGACAGCGTGAATGAAAAGATATGAGCAGTAAATGAAATTGGAGATGAATTGTCTAAAGGCGAAAAATTCAATGAGTAAAGTAAGTATATGTTTCACTTTAATTCACCTATTTTAAGCAAAGAAGCCTGATGATAACCGATAGCAATTAAATGAAAAATACGTCAAATTAAGTTCAAAACCATGTGGAAAATAAGAGTTAGTTCAAACGAATGATTACCCTTCTAAAATACTATTTTGATACAAAATATCCATATGAAAGAATGTACATACACTAGGGAGAATTTGCACACTAATGTTAATCAATGAACAATTCCAAAGCGTACATTGCGCAAATGTGACTATAGGTATCTCTCTAGTGCAAACTACGCCTAAAGCCTTTTCAGGGTTACTGTCGGTTCCAAGCACAGACTGAGGAAGAGGGTTAGGCATGAAGTTGGCGAACCCATCCCATAGAAAATCGATTCGCTAAAAAAAAGCTAACCAGAGGAAATAATTTTGCTAGTCGACGGCCTATGCTCCATCGGGAGTAACAGGTGTAAGTAAGTAAGAAAGTAAGTACGAGACATGTAAACTATCAATACTGATTGACGTCAATGATGATGTTAGTCATTGGGTAATTGGAAAAAATGCAGTCTACGCTAGATGATGAGGAAATGTGTTTCCATCAAAGTAACATCACTTTGCAATGGTATTATAAATGTTCAGTTGACTGTGTGAACAAATGATTTCCAATAAAAAATAAGATGAATTCATCTCGTTAACCCAATCGAAATTCTAAGCATAAGTGATATTGTTCGATTAGACACAATTGGAAAAACATAACAACAACAACAACAACAATGAAATTACAAGTCAGCTGTTTAAAACTTTGAAGCCCTGAACGGTCGTTTCGCCCTTAGTACGGGAATTCTCGACAGCCAGCATCCATGTCCTTACAACCAGGAATCACAATTAGGGTGTTTCATTTCGCATATACACTTCAACTTTCAGTAGTGTTCAATTCTAAATTCAATCAGTTTATAATTTATAATGCATGAACATCCCCCATTGTCTCTGGTAAGTAGCTTCCTCATATTCAAAAACAGTTTAACTCTATTTGACATAGATACATTAAAGTAAGGATTGTACAAAGATTGTAGCGACATGAATGCGCAATGCTGAGAAGTCCCCGTAGCAATCGAATGAAACGACCATCCAATGCCTCAAGATTTTCAATAATTGCCTAACATAAATCAGTTTATGCTTCCAACAACATTCAACAATCTCCTCAACTTCACATTACTGACAATATAGGGCGAAAGGTTAACAATTAATACAACAACAACAATACATGTGTAACCTACTAAACTGTCCATTGACATATAATGGATCTGGTATTGAAACTAATCGACCAGGAGGTGAACATTTAATGCATAATTTCTTGGGTATATCAAATTTCTCAGTTAACACTTTCAATGATTGTTCATTAGATAGATTATTGTTGTTACTTTCATTAATCATATCATAATAATTTTTAGAATAAAATGTAAAATCTGAATCACATTCTCTTGTGAAAATTTCATTTTCACTAATCAATTCAGTTGATGGTATAAATTCATTTAGATTAGCTGTATTCGTAGTTTCATCCAATTGATTATAACGTGTAAGATATTGTCTACGATGTGAATCCAATTTGGTTACATTGATAAACTTTGGGATAAGAAAATGTTTTTTTAAAAACAAAAAGTTTTAAGAAATATAAACACAAAGAAACGAAAATGATATTATAGATAAATTAACGGAATAATCATGTATAAACAAACTCGATTTGTGTGCTTGTCAACCTCGTATTTTCTGGGTGCTTGTAGAATTCACTTCCTAAGCCTTATCAAGACTTCTTGCTATAGTTAGCAGGGTCGAGGACAGTCGAATCAGAATAACCTATCGTATCACTGTATCATCGCTTCGCTCTCGTTTACCGAGTAAGGTGAACTCGTAATAGTTTCAAGCATATCAACAGAGGACGTTTTGTACATCTTTGTCGGAATCGAACACTGCACGTTATAACAAATACTGTGGTGCGAGCTACTTATAAGTAGTATATGACGTGAGTGTCAACGTAAAGTCTGGTAGCATAATATGGGGGGAAGATCAAGAAAGGAAGAGTTAGAAAACAATGGAATTTGTATGAAACGCATGAATAGTGACAATGGATTGATGTTTGGCAACAGGAACAGTCTAGTTCCATAGCATGAACTGATCTTTTGCAAATGAACGAATTACGATATGGTTTTCCGATTTTACTAAGTAACTCTGTAATTTTCGTTACAAACAATCCGGTTGCCCCATCTACGTTCTCCTTCACTATAATACTAATTAATAGACATGATAAAGATGCGTTATAGAAATTTTTTTTAAAAAACAGAAGAAAAATTTACATGAAAATAAAACAATACAATAGACAAATTACCTCATCAGTACTAATTGAATCTTCATCGTCAGTGAATGTATTATTTGACATAGTGTTTTGATGTTTGATTAACGTTTGCATAAAGTTTATTTTTGGTGAAAATGATCTGTTGTTATCATTATATGATGATGAAATTGTTGCAGAAACATTGGGAAAATAACGATTGCATAGAATAGCTTTCTTAGATGGCATTAATAAAGCGATACGCATTGAACGCCAAGCCACTGGTCCATAAGCTTGCATATAATAATGATCAAAATGAGCTAATGCAGTTTTACTATTTGTATTTAAATTAGACAACTGAAGGATGATAGGGATTTTTAAAAAAAGAAAAGAAAAGGAAAAACCGGCTAAAACACATCGATAATAATAATAATAATAATAATAAGAAGAAGAAGAAGAAGAAGAAGAATCTTGGTAATGATTCGACAGACAGATACAACGTAGAACTTCGTACGTAAGTACATCAGTTCAGATTGCCATGCTGCATTAGCACAGAGACGCAACTGTCAGTTCAATTCCTATGATGGTAGCGATAGTAGATGTATTGGCAGTACGGAGGAGATTAGGGTATAATCCAGTGAGATATATATAGAAAGAGAAAGATAGAGATGATGAGGAGTACAGAACGTTAGAGCCATGTCGTTCAAGGTCTCTAACCCTTAGTGACTTTCGTCTGGCAGACCCCAACCACGCAGCCTACGTCTACCAACGTGACTCAGCCCACTTGTCAGTGATTTCATGGATTTTCGCTATATTTTCGTTTGATCCCCCCTAACTTTCCTCCAACCTATTCCTACACTACAAAACATTGCTTGACGAGGCGGTCGGTGGTTAGGCATAAATAACACGTCTCAATCACTTCAACTGATGAAGTTTCAATACTTCATCTATTGATTTTTCCTCCCTACTTAGAACTCGTTTCCTAACGACACGATTGCTTACTCGGTTGTCCCACAATACTCGGTGACACCTATGATCAAAACAAGTAACCTGTGAATATCTTCTACTCTCACTGGACATGTTTCACAGTCGTAAGGTAGGACGAAGCGAACTACTGCACAGTACACTCGTCCCTTAGTTGGCGAACGGATATCTCGCCGACGCCATAAATGACGCAAGTTGGCAAAAGCCAATCGAGCCTTCAGTATCCGTGCTGAGATTTCGTCAGTCACCAGGCCATCAGCACTGATGAGACTCTCCAGATAAGTGAAGCGGTCAACACGCTCAACTACTTCACTCCCTATCACTAGTTCAGGTGCAGATGCAACCCAATATTGAAGCAACATTTTGCATTTAGACGGGAAAAACCGCATCCCAAACATGCTTGCATTGTTGCTTAAGGTGGTCAGAAGACTCTGCATTTTGTCAGCGTCTTCATCGAATAGAACTATGTCATCGGCATATTCTAGGTCGATAAGCGAGCCTCCTGGTAAAAGTTCTACTCCTGAAAATCCAGACGAGGATAAGGTTATATCTAGGAGCATGCCTATGACGAAATTAAACAAGAATGGAGAGAGTGGAGAGCCATGACAGACACCACTTGAAGTAAAGAATTCCGGTGACAGTTCGCCATAAGCTCTCACTCGACCAGTGGTGTTCGAGTTGAGAGCTTGTATAAGGTGAATGTACTTCTGTGGTACACCTTTCAATAACAGATACTACCACAGAACCTCACGATTCACTGAGTCAAATGCTGCCTTAAGGTTCAGGGAGACAACTATTGTAGGACGCCTAAATGTGTGTGTGTTCCAGGACCTGTGAAGATGTGGTCTATACAGCCGCGTCCAGGTCGAAAACCAGCCTGGTTTTCTCTAGTCTGCTCTTCCTGAGCACTAGTAAGGCGTCTAAGTATAATCGAGGCTAACAATTTAGAAACTATATTAGTTAAACTGATTCCCCTGTGATTGTCACAAGAAGACTTTTGTTCTTTTTTTATAAATTGGGATAATAAGGGATTGAGACCAAGTGGACTGGACTACGTCCAGTTCCCAGATTCTACATAAGACCTCAGTCAGTCTAACTGTTAAAACTGGACCAACATCCGTTAAAAATCTCAGAGGTTTATCTATGAGGACACGCTGCTTTACCTCGCTTCAGATTCCCTATAGCTTTCTCAACTTCATAAAGATTCGGAGGGCTTAAGTTGACTTGCCATTCAGGATTACTGAAGATCGTGGGCAACCAAAGTGTGGCTGAAGGCCAATTGAATTGATCCCTAGTGTTTTATGCCCATCGATCCAATCTCCTGGATTGAGAATGAATAATAAGACCATCCTTTTCCGAAATAGTCTCACCCAAATTCGGTTTCCTAATACTGGTTTACCTGATTCGTCTGAAAAGTTTTCTGCTGTTGCCTATCGCCGCTGCCTTTTCCATCTCTCTTGCTTTTTCTACCCACCACTGTTCTCGATCATTGCGTAGGCTTTTTATGAGCCTGCGCTTAAGGTGACTTCGCTCTGCATCACACTCAGAGCCAGACGGGATGAGAGAGAGTTTCCCGTTAACTAGTCAGCATAGCTGATGGTTTGTCAAGGAAGCCAAAGTACATTGGTTGTACAAATGTGGGAATAAAACCTCTTCAATTTTTTTTAATTATTTCACAGAATTGTTAACAGTAAGAAACATTTATTATATATAACGCCGATGATGGAGAAAGCAATATGAAAAGTGACAACGGAAATGCTAAATCTAGTAAGCAACATAGTACGCAGTGTTAATGTACACTGGAAAAGAAACCATTAAATACAAAAGATTTCAATATTTTAGCATGATGTCATAACATGATAAACTTCACATTTAAAACGTAACCTAAAACGTGTCCAGAAATGCTTTATTCATACTACTCTAGTTTTGAATAGTTAATGGCATCCATCGTTGATAAGTGAAACTAGCTATTAGAATTCCTTTTCGAAATCTAAGTTTATTAAACATATACTTGACTTTGAAACACACTCTACATGTCGCGGTTCCAGATACTAGCCGACCACCTAAATCGAAATGGATGATGAAATGTTCAAACATTTCACTTAACCACTGACAATCAAATGCCTTTACCATTGGGAAGCCGAATCAATATGTTTTAGTGAGAAAAACCACTATTTATCTTGGTTATTTTGAAACATTGCATCAGACCAACTAATGAGGGATTTAGTTCAGGCTGTCATGATTCACTACTATAAATTGAGGTTAGTCATTGCAGAATGCGGAAATTCAAATGGTAAACCATAACAATAAATTACCAAACAGTATTCGTCGTAAGATACATAAATACGACAGAAAAAATAGACTATCAATCAGTCACTAATCAGAAAACCATTCCGAATCAGATTAGAAATACAAATAATATATCAAATGAATGGAAAAATGTCATATGCTGATAATAACTAAATTAATCGAAACAAAAGTTACCGGTGTATGCGTGACTACGATTGGTATTCAATGCTCAGACCTAAGTATCAGCTGTTAAGAAAAAAAACATTCTAAGAACTGTACGATGATGCTCATCAATGTTTTTATCTAAACTGGTCTGAATCAACGCCTAAATTAATGATAGAGAGTGTAGTCGAGTGCATAAATCACTTCACTTATACTGCAAGTTTTACTGAGCAGAAATTTATCTCTGGCCTTTGAAAGTAGATATCCTCAGATTATTGGCATCTGATTATAAATGCCTATGAAACATAGCTGATGGATGCTGCAATCATGAAGTGGGTAATAGTGACTTTCAGACGAAGGGTGCTAGGTGAAGATGACAAACTGATTGATGAGATAATGAATGATCGACTGGGTTGGCCGGTAATTGTATTGTATATGCTTAGGCACTGCATACCCATAAGCGTAATGTTCTTTGATAAAGGAGTAGGTTGGATTAAAGCTATGGTCGAATAGACGGAAATTTGGTATCAACCAATGACGATGAATGTTGGACTGAGTCAATGTAAATAGATACAGACTAGATGTCGGGGTTCACACAAATGACTTAACCAGTTGGTTGGAGATTTTCGATAATACAGCTCAAAACCGATAGCAATAGTGGAAATGTGCTTAAAATACTTATACTCTTCATTCATTAAATTCGTTATTGTTTCGCACTGTTGATAATATTGCTACGTTGGGATTTGTCTTCAAAACTGAATCTCTCTGTGCTGAGATGATATGGCAGGTTGAATCGTTAACACATACATGCTAGGATCTAGATTGCTCAGTGACTGACTGATAAATACGTAAAGGATCAACAAGACTTAGAGGCAGAATAAAAACAAATTATCCAACTAGACTTACAGAAAACCTTGCATCCAAGCTATCAAGTTGTTCAATTTTAATCGGTTCATACGCTTGACGTCTGATAGACGAGAAGAACCGACGAGTACAATTAATTTTCTTCTATTTTTTTTATTATATAGAATGAAGATAATTAATGAAGTCAGCAGTGTATAAACATACAAATATGTAAAGAAAGGAAAAAGAACATTAGTAAATGGTGAAAAATTGAAAAAAACATGGAATAGTATGGGCTAAATACAGACAAGCTTAGAAAACCGGAACAAAATCAAAACAATTACTAGTTTGAATATTATATCAAAACTTTATTTGAATCATTTTTTAAGGAGTAATTAAAACATCAGTTCTAGAAAAATTTGCAGTCCAATCATCAATTTTTATTTTTTTGAAAACATTAGTTGGCGGTTGTGTACACATCACTTTATCCAGTTTTTGATAAAGAAATATTGAACATGGGACATCGACATTGACAATATTATCAATCTGCAAGAAATTAGGGGGAGAAAAACAATTTAATTACTATATAAGCAAACTAAATTGAAATGTTACAATTTAGACATTTAAATAAATGTATGCTGAAGAAAAAAAAGTACAGTTTGAACAAATCGAATATCTCGGTATTTTATTATGTTTGCCGGTAATCCCCGTCTTTTTAGTGTATGCATTCACATGATAAAAGTGAAATGAGTTTGACTGATCCAAGAAAATGATACTCGATCCTCAAGTGAGACGCTTAGTGCAAGATAACTGACGATAAGAAATGACACTAGACCAAGCACTCGACCGATGATTGAATTATCTAAAATACGATTAGGAACCAGATAAGGATCAAAACAGTAGCCTATTAAACAAAATAAAACCAGTTAACACATGGAGCGAAATCAGAGTAGGACCAATTATATATATATATATATATATATATATATATATATATATATATATATATATATATATATATATATATATATATTCATTTCATATTTACTATAGCTAGACATAACTATATTCGTTCATTGGTCGATCATAGCTTGTCGAGACCAACATTTGAGTATAGTACCAATTGTACATAGGAAATTTTGTTAGTTGGAAACAAAAAGAAATGTAATGGTTAATACCAATAGACCTCTGTAATCTTCATTAACACTAATTAACGACAAACAGTGATAAATCGATTCGAGTTTTGAAACATTCCAACCAAAACAAAAAAATCAGTGGAAACAGACGACCTTACTAACAAATTTTGAGTTTAAAATCATGAGGCATAAAAGCAAAGAAAGGTAGAGACTATTGTATGGCTGAATATGCTATTTAAGCTCCTAGAATAATGCGGAGAAAACTAAAATTAATAATATAGTCCGTTATGGACGAATTCTGTTGGTAATCCAACATAGAAATAACAAAAGAAGGCCTTGATTTCTTCTAAAAGTAATGATTTACCTGGGAATATTTTAAATGTTAACATGCGTTTTTAAAGGCAATATAATTGGAAATTTGTGCCGTCAGTAACTGAAACCAGGAGTTCAGTTCAGGCTCATGTATATTCGGCTTTGAGTTAAACCCATAGTATGAGCGTTACTTGGTTTTCGAGAGAGAACCAAGTGCGACATGATTTAAACCTGTTCTAATCCTTAGAACAGTGTTGAGTGTTTAAATTTTGCATAACTGGTCAGTAGAAACACAGCATCACTACTTACATACTCCAAACCACTGCTAACTCATTGTACCCAGCTAATAAGAATAATGTTCGGTAAAATGATTCACAATAACAAACAAACGATAACAAGGACTGAGTTTGCAGTCAAAATTCAATTTAGCCTGTGAACAGATAGCGCAGAATTAAAGTTATACCGAAAGTTGAATTATACCAGCGAGGTACCACTAATAACAATCTACCTACCCAATGGTGAATATGCATGCATGAATGCGTGCGATGTACTTTTTAATGCTTTTTTTTTTTAAAAAAGATAACACTAGTACTAACAGATCAAGCAAAACATTTTGTCACAAAGAAAATAATAAATCAGAGTTTTGACTAGAGAAACAAAATAGTAAAAAAAAATTAATGACGACAATAAGATTTGTCCGACAGATTTACATTAACGCTAATTTTAAATGGAGATGTAGGATTTTTCGAAGTTATTTCTTCTTTCGGCAGTGTAATATAACATTCTTTTATTGCGAAACCCTAAAGTAAAAAAGAAAAAAAAAATTAGTGGAATTCTATTTTAAAAATACACCTTACATATCGTCTTAAAGCAACTTTAACATGCGTTTTATTGAGAGTCCATTCCCGAGTTGGATTCATAGGTATGTAAAGAATCATATTAGATAGGCGTTGTTGAAGTACATAAGAGTCACCACACAGAACAGTTGGTTTGTCCTACAAAAATTAAAAAAGAAAAAATGAGAACAATATTTAAATATGAATTATCTATGAGTAGAACTTAAAACAGTGTAGTCTATCTACTCTACTGGACTGATTAGAATAATACATAAGACAAAGCATTCGAAATATAACAAAAAATAAAAAGAATATGGTGGAAAAAATTTTGTCTTTCACGATATCATTTACTAGAGCTGTGCGCCTGGAATTACAGTTGGTTTGTCTATATATAGAAGGATAGAATAGATCGTATCATGAAGTGATCTGGGATTTAAAATATTAGAAGTTGGAGTAATTATTATCAAGGGGATAGAGAAAAACAGAAGGATGAAAATAGTCTACAGGATAGAAATGAGAGAGATAATCGCAAGTAAAATTTGTCATAAACGTTGGAGTAAACTAGAATAAACAAGTGATAAGACGAGCAACAATTGATCTTATCTCATTAAAAGCGGACTATTTAAAGACTAGCCACATTTATCTATTTCTCATGCCGTTGTTTGCTGTTTCATATAGCTAATTTTTAATATAGATTATATTTGCAACAGCCTTCCGAAATGGTGGATAGTTTTGAGAATAACGATAATATAACAGACTCCTAGATACAGGTTGTTAACTTCCAACCTCTTTCTTTGAATCCTCACTATCCAGAAGTCTGGTTGGCTGCACCGGAGGCTCAATTCGAGATCCGTCGCATTACGAACCAGCGGCAGAAGTATGCCTACGCTCTGGAGACCTTACCTAGGGATCACATAGCTGCGGTCCTTAAGGTCACCCTCAATTCTAAAGTAACTGATGTCTACGGTCGTCTCAAGGAGACGATTTCCAGACATTTCCTACAGTCGAAGGGAGAACGATTGGGGACCTTACTAGCACATCATCCTCTGGGTGGTGCTAAGCCGAGCCATCACCTCACGCGCCTGCATTCTTTGGCAGGACCCACGACAGCAGACTCTCAAACATTTAAGGAATTTTGGCTCGAATCTCTACCAGCTTACATACAGCCCACGATCACGGCCCTGCTCGAGGACACACCATCTTAACATTCATCTGGCAGGAGTATATCATCAGATTACAGTAGTGAATGCAGATATCGAGAAAATTGCTATCACGACTCCTTTCGGTCTGTTTGAATTCCTACGAATGACATTTAATGCTATTTATAGGATACGGGGCCTAGGTATGTGTGGAGGATCAACAGATGAAGTAGTGAAACTACTTGATCAGTAGAGGTGGTTGAGACATGTGTTATGTACGCCTAAGCATCGACAGCCTCGTTGAGCAATGTTTCAATCAATCAATCAACAGCAACGTAGAACTTCATACATACGTACGTACAGCAGTTCAAGTTGCCATAACACATTAGCACAAAGATGTAATTGTCGATTGAAATCCAATAGTAGTAGAGGTAGCAAAAGTATTAGCAGTAATCGGAAAGATTAGGGTTCGAAGACATTATTCAAGAAGTATAATCTAGTGAAATAAACTTAAAAAGATAAAGGTGATGAGGAACTCTGAAGGTTAGGATTTGAGAGAACACAAAGAATAAATGCACCGGCACCACTGCAAACGGTTTTGAGCCATGTCGTTTAGGGTCTCTAACCATCGATTACTAATCTCGCGGACCCCAACCATGTATTCGACACCTACCGACATGACTCAGTCCACTTGTCAGTAAACCCATGGATTTGTGTCATGTTTTAGTTCAGCCGCCCCTAGCTTTCGGCCAACCTATTCCTACTCCACAAAACAAAGCTCGACGAGGCGATCGGTGGTTAGGCATTCGTAACACATGTCCTAACAACCTCAACCAATGCAGTTTCAATGCTTCATCTAATGATTTGCTATGCCTACTTAGTAGTGATTTCCTAACGACACGATTGCTTACTCGAAGTATGATTACTTCATCCACTGACCTGCCATCCGTACCTAGCACCCGATTCCCGACAACAGCTCAGCTTACGCGGGTGTCCCACAATACTCGAGCAATGCTTTGGAGACACCTATGATAAAAACAAGTAACCTACGAATATCTTCTACTCTCACTGACCATGTTTCACATCCATAAAGTAGGACGGAGAGAACTACAGCGCAGTACACTCGTTAGTTAGCGAACGGATATCTCGCCTACGCCATAAACGACACAAGTTAGCAAAAGCCGATCGAGTCATCTGTATCCATGCTGAGATTTCGTCGGTCACCAGGTCATCGGCACAGATCAGACTCCCAACATGAGTGAAGCGGTACACATGCTCAACTGCTTCACTCCATATCCCTAGTTCAGATGCCAATACAAGCCAATCCTAAAGCAACATTTAGCATTTCGACGAGGAGCATTGCATCCCGAACATGCTTGCACTGTTACTCAGGAGACATTGCGTTTCGTCAGCATCTTCACCAAGTTGAACTATGTCATCGGCATATTCTAAGTCAATAATCAAGCCTCCTGGCAAAAAGTCTACTCCTGAAAATTCAAACGAAGAAAATGTTGTCTCTAAAAATATGCTTATGGCAAAATTAAACAAGAACGGAGAAAGTGGACATCCGTGACACACGCCACATTAATTAATGAATTCCGATGACAGTTCGCCATGAGCTCTCACTCGACCAGTGATGTTCGAGTACAGATCGTGTATAAAGTTGATGTACTTCTTTGGTACACCTTTCAATGACAGACACTGCCACAGAACCTCACGATCCACTGCGTCAAATGCCGCCTTAAGGTTCAGGAAGAAAACTATTGTAGGACGTCTAAATGTGTGTCTGTGTTCCAAGACCTGTCGTAGTGTGAAGATGTGGTCTATACAGCCACATCCGGGTCTGAAACCAGCCTGGTTTTCTCTAGTCTGCTCTTCAAGAGCTCTAGTTAGGTGTCAAAGTATTGTGGAGGCTAACAATTTAGACACTGTATTAGTTAGACTGGACTACGTCCAGTTCCCAGATTCTACCTAAGATCCCAATCAATCCAGCTGCTAAAGCTGGACCACCATCATCAAAAGTCTCAGGAGTTAACCTATCAGAACCTGCTGCTAGATTTCCTATAGCTTTCTCAGATTAGGACGCACATCATTGACTGTGCATTCGAAATCTTAAGGTACGTTGTACATCACCTCCATAGCTTTGAGTTTTTGCATTTCCTCCATATAGCCACTATCATTTACTCGAATGAATAAGCGTTCCTCAAGAAACAACCTTCCACGGTGTGGGGACCCGAGAACTGACAACCGCCCTCATACCCGTAACAGCACACGAGACCAAATTGGTCGAAATCAAATCCTTCCTACACCCCCTAGTACCTCTCTTATCTCCACGACTAACTCTTGTCACATTCATTTATCACAGTGCACAGCTAATGCAGACGACACGAGTTCGCGAAACGTCGTTCCTGGACTCCTTAAACCCCGCTCTAGACTACATGTTGGAGCATTTAATGTACGGACATTGTGTCAAATAGGGTAACAGGCATCCTTAGCTAGGACTTTAGAATCTCGTGCCATCGATGTATGCTGCGTCTCGGAAACGCGCATACAGGATCCTAGTAAAATTATTAATCTGATTTCACCTTGTCAAAATAAAGAAGCAGCTCGATTTACTCTTCGTGTATCCGGTAGCCCTGATGCTGCTTCCAGGGGTCTTGCTGTCGTGGGCATAGCATTGAGTCGTAGGGCAGAATAATCTCTCCTTGACTGGATCCCAGTAGATAGTCGCTTGTGCGCTGTCCGACTAAACGGGACAGTAAGGACTCGGAAAGATAGGGACAATCGTCGTTGCCTCTTCATCGTATCTGCCTATGCCCCCACTGAATGCAGTTCAGACGAGGTGAAAAATGAATTTTACAGAAAGCTTTCGGACCTCCTCCAAAAAGCTAGGCGCTCTGCTATAGTAATAATGGCTGGTGACTTTAATGCTCAAGTAGGTAGAGTGAATGAAAATGAAAGACACATAGGTGGATGTTATGGTTTTGCTGCTCAGAGAACAGACAATGGTGACCGTCTTTTGCAAGTATGCTCAGACAACCGCCTATTCTTAGCAAACACTAACTTTAGGCATAAGGAAAAGCATCTGTTGACCTGGCGACCTCCAAAGTCGTCTCAACGTTGGACGCAACTAGATCACATCGCCATCAGCCACCGATGGAGGGGTTCGATTGAAGACTGTCGCTCGTTGTGGGGCCCATGTTTGGATTCAGATCATGCTCTAGTGCGAGCGCGTATTTGTTTGAAGCTTACTGAGCGTAGGAAAGACACCGTAAGAAAGCCTCTTAAGGTTTTACTTAATCATAATAAGGCGAAAAATATATTTCAGGAACAACTAGAAAGACAGTTAGGCGAGCATTTAAGCGATTCCCATCCGGAAGCAGGATGGAATGATATCAAAAAGGCTGTGGAAACAGCAGTGATATCTGCTAGTAAGGTTGACCATAAGGCTAGAATAAAGCCGTGGATCTCTGTAGCATCCACCGATCTGATGGATTCCCGAAAACTCATCCCACCTGACTCTGAACATGATGAAGAACGAAGTCAACTTAGGCGCAGACTTATAAAAAGCCTACGTAACGATCGCGAACAGTGGTGGGTGGCGAAAGCAAAAGCGATGGAAAAGGCAGCGGAGATAGGGAACACTAGACAACTTTTCCGACTTATCAAAGAAAATGGTATGAGGAATCCCAGTGTACGTGAGACTATCACGTAAAATGATGGGACTATTATTTATTCTCAATCCAGGAGATTGGATCGATGGGCAGAACACTTCAGGGATCAGTTCAACTGGTCTCGAGCCACTCTTCGGTTACCCACGATCTCCAGTCATCCTGAATGGCAAATCAACGTAAGTCCCCCTAGTCTTAATGAAGTTGAAAAAGCGTTAGGAAATCTGAAGCGAGGGCGAGCTGCAGATCCTGATAGACTGACCCCTGAGATATTTAAGGATGGTGGTCCGGTTTTAGCAACTAGGTTGACCGAAATCTTAGGTAGAATCTGGGAACTGGACGTAATCCCATCCGACTGGTCTCAATCACTGATCGTCCCAATCTATAAGAAAGGACAGAAGTCATCTTGTGACAATCACAGGGGACTAAGTCTAACTAATATAGTATCTAAAATATTGGCCTCAGTAATACTTCGACGCTTAACGAAAGCTCGTGAAGAGCAAACTCGAGAAAACCAATCTGGTTTTCGACCTGTACGTGGTTGTATAGACCACATTTTCACACTAAGACAGGTCCCGGAACACAGACACACATTTAGACGTCCTACAATAGTCGTCTTCCTGGACCTTAAGGCGGCATTTGACTCTGTGGATCGTGAGGTTCTGTGGCAGTGTCTGTCATTGAAAGGTGTACCAAAGAAGTACATTAACCTCATACAAGCTCTCTACTCGAACACCACTCGTCGAGTGACAGCTTATGGCGAACTGTCATCAGAATTCTTTACTTCAAGTGGTGTCCGTCAGGGCTGTCCACTCTCTCCATTCTTGTTTAATTTTATCATTGACATGCTCCTACAAATAACCTTATCCTCGTCTGGATTTTCAGAAGTAGACCTTCTACCAGGTGGCTCGCTTATTGACTTAGAATATGCCGAAGACATTGTCCTACTTGGTGAAGACGCTGACAAATTGCAGTCTTCTGACTACCCTAAGCAACAATGGAAGCATGTTCGGGATGCGGTTTTCCCCATCGAAATGCAAAATGTTGCTTCAAGATTGGGTTTCACCGGCACCTGAACTAGTGATAGGGAGTGAAGTAGTCGAACGTGTAGACCGCTTCACTTATCTTGGGAGTCTCATCAGTGCCGATGGCCTGGTGATTGACGAAATCTTAGCTCGGATACAGAAGGCTCGATTGGCTTTTGCCAACCTGCGTCACTTATGGCGTAGGCGAGATATCCGTTTGCTGACTAAAGGACGAGTGTACTGCGCAGTAGTTCGCTCCGTCTTACTTTATGGCTGTGAAACATGGCCAGTGAGAGTAGAAGATATTCGTAGGTTACTGGTTTTCGATCATAGGTGTCTTCGAAGCATTGCTCGTATATCGTGGGACACCCCAGTGAGCAACGCTGTTATTAGTAATCGTGTGCTAGGTAAGAATGGTAGATCAATAGATGAAGTATTGAAACTTCATCAGTTGAGGTGGTTGGGACATGTGTTGCGTATGCCCAACCACCGACTGCCTCGTCGAGCTTTGATTTGTAGTGTAGGAATAGGTTGGAAGAAAGTTAGGGGCGGCCAGACCAAAACATGGTAGAAATCCATGAAGTTATTGACCAGTGGACTTAGCCATGTCGGTAATTTTCGATTACCTGGTTGGGGTCGGCGAGATGATAATAATCGATGGTTAGAGACCCTGAATGACATGGCTCAAAATCGTTCGCAATGGCGCCGGTGCATTTATTCTTTTTTTTCTCTCAAATCCTAATCTTCTGGATTCTTCAACACCTCTAGTTTTAACTTTCTAAACTTTTCTCATTTAATCATACTTCTTGAATAATATCTTCTAATGCTAACCTCTCCGATTACTTCTAATACCCTTGCTAACTCTTCTACTAATGGATTTGAATTGACAATTACATCTCTGTGCTGATGTGGTATGGCGACATGAACTGATGTACTTACGTACGAAGTTCTACGTTGCAACTGACTGACTGACTGACTGATAGCTTTCTCAACTTCATAAGGACTAGGAGGACTTAAATCGATCTGTCATTCAGGATGACTGGAGATCGTGCGTAACCGAAGTGTGGCTGAGGGCCAGTTTAACGGATCCGTAAAGTGTTCTGCCCATCGATCCAATCTGCTGGATTGAGAATGAATAGTAGGACCATTCTTTTCCGAGATAGTCCCACTCACATTCAGGTTCATAATACCGGTTTCCTTGATGAATCTGAATAGTTGCCTACTGTTGCCTGTCGCCGTTGCCTTTTCCATCTTTCTTGCTTTTGATATCCAACAGAATATCTCTGGAAGTTGGCAACCTCTCGAATTTTACTAATGACGCCTTACTCCCACGGAGACGAGATATAGCGCTTTTGGTCACGAACTGCTACCAGCCTTCTGTGCCACCAAACATCTCCGGCACGCAGTAGAAGATCGTAAATTAATCCTCTTCACCGACCACAATCCTCTGACGTATGCTCTGCATACCAAGTCTGACCGCCACCCACCACGAGGGTGCAGACATTTGAACTATATCTCTCAGTTCATGACAGACCTTCGTTACATTAAAGGCGAGTCGAATTATGTTGCCGATGCTCTGTCACGTATCCAAGTAAATGCAGTTACTTTACCGGTGCTATGCCTGCTGCTCAAGGAAATGATCTCTCCTGTACAGAAGCACAACATTCTACATCCCTTCAGTGCCGGGAAGAACCCCTAGCTACTATCCTGTGATACTTCTACTGGTGTTCCCTGACCTACTGTACCCTCCGCTTATCGTCGTCTCGTCTTTGATGCCCTTCATGGACTGTCTCATTCACGTATCGCAGCCCTGTTACGCCTTTTCGTTGCACGATACGTCTGGCCGCCCATGAATAAAGAAGTCCGTACGTGGTTAAGGCGATGCTTACAACGTCAACGAACAAAAGTGCACAGGCACGTAGCTGCACCGATCGGAACGTTCGCTAAGCCTGATGCTCGCTTCGACCACGCTCATACAGACATTGTGGGACCTTTGCCATCATCGCATAGTTATGATCACATATCGAACGTTTCACAAGGTGGTCCGAAGCTATTCCCATCACTTTTATTACGGCGGAGACAGTTGCTCACAGCTTCGTAGAACGATGGATAGCGCTGTGCGGTTATCCCTCGACTGTCACGACTGAGAGAGGACAACGGTTCGAGTCCGAATTATATTCCTCGCTAACCCGGTTGCTTGGTACGGAGTGCATACGCACTACCACCTACCACCCAGCTTTAAATACTTTAGTTGGATGGTTTTATCGCCAATTTAAAAGTGCTCTTAGAGCACACAAAAACAACAATTGATACGAAACCTTAACGCTCGTCCTCTTGGCTGTTAGAACAAGTTTAAAGGAAGATATTTAATGTTCCACCACTGAATTAGTATACGGCATGACATTGAGTCTGCCTGGGGAATTTTTCGAATATAGCATAAAATAAATAGTCATGCAAAAAAGGACAAATATCTAACTTTTTGTTTTAACTTCATTTCATTGATCCTTTCTTCTGTTGGTAGTTCAGCAAGCCCTTTGATATACAAGTATCTCCAAAATCTATTACGATGTACAGAAGCTATAGTTCCGATAGATCCGAGTCCTAAAATGAAACAAATAAGCATATTTATTGCATCTTTTTGGATTTTGCTATGATATATACTTTTCATATGAGTTCAGAAATAAAAGCAACGTTAAATGAAACAGAACTTTCCAAACTAGTTCATTTTTAACCAGCACTTCTGCTATTTTCAGGAAATAGCATGAGCAAACACTTGAGTTACTTTCTGTACCTACATATATTTCGGGCTGTAACTTTAATACTCTTTAGAAATTCTGTTATACTTTAAATGTACTACAAATATTGTGGTTGGGGAATACCCTGTTAGTTTGTGCTTTACTGAATACAATTCTGGACTAAAGCTTAGATGAAAAAGCAGAGTCCTTGAAACATTACTGTGGTTAACAACATGACATTAAAGCAACACCAATTTGATAGAAAATCTAATATTGTTTTTTTAGAACAACACATATAAGCGAACAATATTGTTTTCGATTAGATCGTCGTCAATACTGTTCGCTTATATGTGTTGTTCTGATTTTCACAATGGGAATCTTTAATAGCTCTTTTAATTTTACATGCTTAAGATCACTAGTTGATAAGTTAGACAAGTACCAAAGAATTTCGAATCAAAATAAACATTTAAGATTTCATAAAAAAAGTTTAAAGCTAACATACGACTTTAAAAATGCAACAGACAATTTGAGTGGATCAAATGAAAAAAGGATATTATACAGTGCTGAATTAGTTAGAGACCAGCAACAGTAAAAGCAAAAGCTCATAAAATGAACTAGGAAAATGGTCAGAACGAAAATTCGGAGAGTGACGTCGTGATTTACAGTTCATAGTCGGCATAGAGAAATATTTTACGAGAAAGATATAATGAAATACATATGAGTAAACTTTGTGTTAACTTTTTAATTGGAAATGTTCCAAAAATACCATGGTTTAAGAGTCAGTTTTTGAATGTCAACATACCAGGTACTTCATCCGTTAGCAAAACATCTATACACGGTGATTCATTAGTTTTTGAATAAACCTCGACATAAACCATGTCGTCTGGTGTCAATTTAGGCAAAATACCTTCTGCCAAATAAATTGAAGGACTTTTGAGCGGATATTTTTTGACCAGAGTTACTGCATGCTGGGCGAAAACAAGAGATAATTCAGGCGAACAAATGACTTACTCGTAAGCCAATAGGTCTTAGGAGCTTGAAAATGCTTGCGCTCTTTATAAGCATCTAAAAAATTAAAAGTAATCGTTACATATGTTTGATATTCTGAAGAACAATAAAACATGCATCTAGTACTGAACGCATAGAGCATGTATAAGACCGCTATTGATAGGAAAAGCGAACCACACAATATGTATAAGTGAACAGTGAGAAAACATAAAACGTAATCTCAAGACTGGAGGAATATTTATTCAACAAAACATTTTGGAAAAGGAAATGTGACTAGGGACATAAAACGTTGTTTAGTCTAAGGCTGCGAGCTACAATAAAGCGGAATTTTAGGGAGGTAAATAAAACACTTGAGGAAGACCCAGAAACTTCCAAAAGTTTTACATGAATTCGGAAGGAACTACGACTTTTCTAATGACATGCGAGTAGACTTGAAAATTTAACCAAATTTGGTCGCATTGTTCACTTTTCATAAGAATCTTTGACACTGACTCGAATATAAGTCTCTATTTATGATTTCAGAGTTTTATATGAGTAAAAGCGTTTTCATCAATGAACCAGCTATATAACTAGGTCGGTTAATAAATGGCTCAGAGCTGTCAATATGGTTTAATTCTAAGCAGTATAAGTGTCAAAAAGCAGAAAAACGCTATGTGTGGATCATCATATGTATCATAATAACAATCATAACAGCAAAATTGTTCGTATGGTCAGACAAACATGATAGGATTGAGTGGAACATCTTGTTACGTAAGTTGTTTCCTATTTTTCTTCATTTATAATATCGTGTTTTGTAAGTCACAGCAAAAATAAATACTACCTAAATATTAAAATGTCAGTGATGAAAGATTAAAAAAGAGTACTGAGAAAACCACTTGATCATAAATGACCTCGCAGGTAACGAGTGACTTGAATAAGAGCATTCAATATCCAATATATCAAGTATCTTTTTCACGAGCAGGTGTAAATCAATTATTTCTTTGCGCTCGATTCGTGTTCTCTCAGTGCAGCTTCACGTTTTATGTAGTGGTCAATCGATGGTAGCCTAGGCACTCAACTGCAGTAGTTCTAGTCAGTTATCAGTTCGTAATGAGTTTATGTCACGTGACTTGAATGTAAAAGTTTGTCTCTAGTAATTAGGGCCTCTGGATAACAACAGCTATCACATTACCATACGGTCGTTCAGTTAGTTGCAATGTGTAAAATAATAAGGATAAAATTATGATGCTAGTAGGATTTCAGAACAGAGCAAATAAACATATAGTTTGGTTTATTAATTGGTAGTGAAGATTGTGCGGGAGGACATTGGTATAAACGAGGAGAGGGAAGAAGAGATAATAAGAGAGACAGATTGACTGGGTGATCTGAGGAGATTGCTATAATAACTACTAGCAAGTTTCTAGACTTACATCAGCCATGGCTTGTCTACGAGGGAGATGATAATCCTTATGTGTGTACGTGTTTCTCAAGTCTCCTATTCTTAAAGCGGCTGTGATCACCTCAGCTGGGAGAGCATTCCGGGTTGCATCGACTGTTAGGGGAAAAAGTGTGCATGAACCTGAATGTTCGTTCTTTGATGTGCAATTTCTCGAGGATTGCCTAAAGGGTAGTGGTAAGGTACTTACATTGAGATGGTTTGTAAGCGATTTCCAGATCACCTCTGACTCTCCTGTAAATCAGAGAGTATAACCTCAAGTGTTGAAGTCTATCTTCGTAAAGTTTGTTCTTCAAATCTATCAGCCATTTCGTTGCTCGTCTCTGCACTCGATCCGAGAGATCTGTGTCTCTTTTTAGAAGAGAGAGTGTAAAGACGTTGTAAACCTCAAAGTGTGGGCGTGCACATATCTTAAAAAACGTTAAGAATAATTATGGGGTGATTGCATCAAGTCGTCTTCGCATAAAGTGAAGAGTCTCATTAGCCTTGGTAGTGTCCCCGTTATATTTCGAGCTGGTATGGAGGCTTTCACTTGTTATCAGAGCGAGAAAGCGCTCTGAGAAGACGAAGATATTTTAAGTTTGCCCGCATAAAGGCTGCTCGCTTCGCCTGGAAGCGCTAATCCATGCCTGTCTTGAATAGTTATTGAAGATGACTGTGAAGTTCGCAACCGTTAACCAGTTGTTAAGATACTGTTCATTTGGATTTCTAGGAGCGAGAATGTCTTAGTTCAAATGTTCTCCTTCAGTCATGAACCCAAAAAAATGGTTTTGAGCCTGTCAGTTTCTGCTAGCTTCGTCTAGATGTATCTCCTAAGTGTTTGAACCTTGTGGTTGCATCTCTTTCTCAATACTAAGAGAGACACATGGTTGGAATAGTTCAGAGAGACCTTATACTTCGGCCGAGCCCCTCTTTTCTCGTTTAGCAAGCGTTCAGTGCCTTTCCTAACACATATTCCTCTCTTTCCAGGTGTGTGATTATATGCAATAGCATCCTGAATGATGTCCCTCACTGTTTGCCAGTGACTGTCAGAGTTATTATCCACAATTCCTATGGCCATGTGGTGCGCACCTCATGGTCGTGTAGTTTTTCTTAGTGTAGCAAATGTAGGCCGCATTTCCAACCTCTCTGAATGTTTCATTTGTGGCAATATCAAACATGAACATCATGGTTAAAAATTTCTACTGATGCATTGAAATAGACATTTCGGATTTAAGAATTAAAGTAGTTCCGTTGAATCCCTTCAATCAGTATTTTGTTACGTTCATGTTGAAGCAACACTAGCATGAATCTGTGGCAACAGTTAGGTGTAATGTGGTGTTATTGCTCTAAATGGCTGTTAACATATATATATATATATATATATATATATATACCCACACAATTTCCCGTTTCTGTACTATGTCTCAGCGAAAGTGTCATGCCTTGAAAGTTCACGTCGACATCTGTAATGTAAATGGGTAGGCATGTTTCACTGAAGATTACAATCTTTAGACCAATGTGAGAGCACACATTACTTATCTCTCCCAGCCCACCTCTCAGTGCTCTAACGTTGTTACAGAGGCCTCATCACTTGGTGCACCTGTACAGCCAGAGTGCTTGTAGGATTTCCAAACAAGTTGTTCTAACTGAGCTGGCCAGGGGTCTCACTTGTATGGTTTCAATCAGCGGGACCATGATCTTCGTTTTTTGTGCCGCCCATTGTCGAACGAGGTTGACTGACATTCGTGTGCGGATACTTTGGCCTGTTGTTTTCCCACTGATCTGGGCCGGCCCTCGCAACACCTAGTGTAACTAGAGAGATGATTGTTCATGCTGTTTGAAGTCGGAAGCTCTTCAGTTACGTCTTCCAGACTTCTGAAGTTCAATGCTGCAAGATATGAAAGCTTAATGGTCATGAACTGTAACGAACAGGACAGCCAGGATACGCTAGTTACCAGGGTGACGCAGAGCCCGTGCACTGATTTTTTCCCATGGCTATTCTTGCACACCATTTGCGAGCGCTTCATCCATGCTACTGCTAACCAGCTCATGCAATTCGTAAACCACCATACTGGTTTGTTTTTGAGTGCTTTTTGATGTTCTAGTGCCTATCCGTACTGATAACGACTTTTCATGTCTGACTCGGATCTGGGGGGAAAGTTTAACCGAAAGGTCTCTGAGATGTTAGAATTTTATCCGGCGACTTTTGAAAAATCTGAAGTTGCCCTCAATTTTAGATATTAACCTCCATCTATATTTCAACGTTTCGGTGGACTGCGTTGTCTGACCGGAGTAGTGCTCACCACAAGTATCCCACTGTTCTTTATCAAAGAAACAACCACTTTATAGTAAGCTACCCTCTGAGACTGCAATATTATATAAAATTAGTCAGTTTATTAACATGTATTCATAATCCGTTTTAAGCGTTTTCTGGGCTATGTTGTTGCCTTATCGTTGATATAAGCTCAGGCACCACTCCTCACTGCTAACAGATACCTGGGTATTTACGACAAGTGGTTTTTTCGTTGGTGTATGGGATCAGGTTGCGGCTACATTAATTAACTTTTTGAAAGATATTTTGTTGGGCGAATTCCGTTTGCTATTGTGCATCCGTTGGTTAATTTTAGATTGAGCCCTTTGTTTCCCTTCTGATATTTTTATTGTTCAACTGAATCTACATTTTGGAAGGGACTAACTTGAAGTGGACCCACTTTGCTGTCTCAGTAGTGTAGAGAAAGATAAACAATTCACTGCAGAATTAACATCCAAATGTGGAGTTGCCAGTTCTAACTGGCAACTAGATTACCACTGAGTTTTTACTGAACACAAGGCTGCGTTACCGCAGTTTGAGAACGTCTTCTGTTTCCTCTCATCCGACTAGTCTTAATGACAGTATAAATCCGAGGGAGTGTGACCGACGTTTATTTTTTAAAACCCAATAGAGGTGTTTGGGTTGAGTGGTTCCAGTTATATATATTACTCCAAGTTTCAATATCGAGTGACGTTTTGTGTTTTCCCAGAATTCTGCTGCTGAGATTTTCGACTCACTAAATACTCCGAGTTCTGACAATAGTTTTCTTAGTGCAACAATTGGTAGCAGTGGCATTACAGTGCATACTTAAACCTGAAGACTAGAATAAAGGACATCGAGAATACATAGACAAGACAGTGACTGTATCCAGAAGCGAATATGCTAAGCCAAGAAGTTGTCACGAGGGATGCGTGGCTCGGCGTACAAAACGGTAGTCGAACCTGTTCAGGTAGTATGTGTTCCATAAATCTACTGCGGTCAAAACCACTGTTGAATAACCACAGAACAACTTATTTTTACGAAACGTCTAGTGTTAGAGCTGACTCTCAGCTTCCGGGTGTGGATAGTGATCACCCTATTACACGATTAGTAATAAGTTGGAATCTGACGTGCCTGACGTTGGTAAGCACACTAATAAAAGCCTGCTTTGTTTAACCACCCTGGAAAGGAAATAATGTAGGTATAGATGCAGGGTAACTGCCGCAATACATTCGTAAAAACAGATGCAAACAAATGTGTGAGATAGTCTCGAATGAATTAAGAAATATTTATTACTCTCGCAGTGAGCTCTGAAACCGAAAGGTGTAGGTTCACACGCGTCTCGCCCAG